TGCAGGATGGCCTGCTTCAGGTTCACCACCTTCATGGCCGCGCTCTGCCAAGGGAAAGGGGGGGTCAGGGGAAGGCTGGGCGGATTTTGGGGAGGGGAGGTTGGCGGGGGGGGGGAAGGCTTCCTGACACCCCCCCACACACCCCGGGGAAAGGCAGCGGGGCCCGGGGGGGAGCGAGGCCCAGCGGCTCCTGCGGGGAAGGGGAGGCCGCGGCCCGGGGGGGGCCGGTACCCCGCGGGGGAGGGCCGGCCCCGAGCCCCCCACCCGCCGGCCCCGAGCCCCCCCCCCCCGCCGCCTCTCACCCTCAGCCAGCACCGCGGCCGCCGGCAAACGCTTCCCTCAGCGCCCGGGCACCGCCATGGTGGCACCTGCCAGCAAGCCGGGCGCTGATTGGGCGGCGGAGCGCCGCGGGGCGCGGGGGGTGCTGGGAGGTGTAGTCCGGAGGGGGGGGAGGAGGCGTGTTTGGGGTGCAAGTGGGGTGTGAATGGGCGTGGGGGTGCGAGGGCGTGCAAACACGGGGCGTGCGCGGGCGTGCAAATGTGCGGGTGCGCAAATGCACGGGCGCGCAAAGCTGTGGGCGCGCAAACACGGTGTGTGCAAAGGCGTGGGGGGTGCAAATGTGTGGGTGCGCAAAGGTGTGGGCGTGCAAACACGGGGCCTGCAAGAGCGTGGGCGTGCAAACACAGGGCATGTGCGGGTGTGGGCATGCAAACACAGAGTGTGCAAAGGCGTGGGTGTGCAAATGTGCGGGTGCGCAAAGGCATGGGTGTGCAAAGAAGTGGGCGTGCAAACAAGGTGTGTGCAAGGGCACGGGTGTGCAAGCATGTTATGTGCAGAGGCATGGGCATGCAAGGGCATGGGCGTGCAAACATGGGGCGTGCAAAGGCATGGGGGTACAAGCATGTTGTGTGCAAAAGTGTGGGTGTGCAAAGGTGTGGGTGTACAAGCACAGTGCGTGCAAAGGTGTGGGGTGCTGTCATGGAGGGCATGAGCACAGGGGTGTGCACGTGCAGGTGTGCAAACACGGGTGTGCACACAGAACAGGCGTGCATGCTTTTGTCTGGGCGTGTGTGTAAATGCATACATGTATGTATGTGCATGCACACGTGGGAGCGCAGGTGTGCACACAGGCACGCCTGCGTGAGCAGAGCGCTGTGCACGTGCGGGTGTACAAACACGGCTGTGCACGCAGGACCGGGTGTCCGCACACGTGTGCTGGGGTGGGATGGCACACACATGTGCAAACACACACGTGTGCCTGTGTGCCCACACAGGTGTGTACACACGGGTGTGCACGCCGGCCCGTGCACGCTCACGGCGTGCGGGTGCAGACGCAGACACCCACGGGCCGGCGTGCACGGGCGCCTCTGCAGGGGTGCGTGCCCCCACACGGGTGTGCACGGGTGCGCCGCGGACACGCGTGTGCATGCACACGCAGGGATGGGCTCCCCCCTCCCTGCTCCCCCCCATCCCCACTTTTGGTACCAGCAGCTAAAAATATCCCAACGGCTGCCTCCAGCCATCGCCATGGCAACAGGAGGATGGGGAGCGGGGCGGGGGGGGGGGGCACCCCTCCGCACCCCCCACCCATGGGAGCCCCCTGTGGCTCAGGAGAGGGGTGAAGCCCCCCGGGGTGCCCGGAACTGGGCTGGGGGGGGGGGGGGGGGGGGCGCGCTCTGAGGCCCTTTAATCCCCCGGTGAATCATTTATGGGGTCGGGGCGCTGCAAATCCCCCCGCGCCGGGGCCGGGATTAGGCGGGCGAGGGGCCCCCCACAGCCGGGGGGGGGCAGCCCCCGGCCCCTATTCATGAGGAGGGATTTCCTGTGCCGGGAGGGGGGGGGTCCCACTGCCCGCAGCCTGTCCCTGAGCGGGAGAGGACCGGGGGAGCCCCCCGAGACAGCACCCCCCCCCCTCCTCCATGACAAAGCACCCCCCGGGCTGGCCGGGGTTGGGGGGCTGTGGGATGCGCTAAGGGGGTCCCAGCCCCCCCCTCCCCACCCCCCCGGCTCGGCGCAGGCGTCGAGGCCTCAGCCCAGCACCCCAGCCTTGGCTGGGCGCCCCAGCCCAGCTGCCTCCAGCCCCAGGGCCGGGGGGGGGGGCCGGGGGGGAGCCGGGGGGGGGGGGTGGGCCGGAAGGGGCCGGGGCCGTTCCCAGCGCCGGGGGCAAGCGGGGGGCAAGCAGGGGCCAGCGTGGGGGGGCTTCCCCCTTCCCACGGGGTAACTGGGACAGCCGGACCCCCCCCTCGCCCCCAGTGCTGGGCCCTGCTGGTGGGGGGGGGCCGTGGGGGGCTGGTTCCCACCGGCCCAGTGTTTGATGGGGTGTGAGGGATTTGATTCCCCGGGGCGGGGGGACACGACACCCAGTGGGAAAATGGGGTGGGGGGGGGAGGGGGGGGGCGGGTTACACACACAGGCAGCCTGGAATGGGGGACACCCCCATGGGGACACTCAGCCCCCCAGCTGGCGGGGGTGGGTGCTGCCCTACGGGGGGTCCCAGCAATGGGGATGCAGGCGCTTGGGTGTCCCCCCTGCTTTGGGGGGGTTGGGGTGGGGGGGGGGGGGACAGGACTGGGGAAGGGGGGGGGGGGGGCGCCCAGCTGGGCTCGGGCTATATATAGCGGCTCGGCAGCGCAGAGCAGCGGGATGAATTTTAACGAGCTTGTTCCGGCCGACTGCGCTGCACCCCGAGAGCGACGCGGCCCCTCCACATCCCGCGTGTGCGTGTGCATGTGTGCGTGTGTGTGTGTCCCGGCTGCCACAGGGCGTGGGGTCCCCACCCTGCCTGGGGGGGCACAGAGAGGTGACACTGGGGACAATTTGTAGGCTCACCGCAGGGGCCCCGGGGGGGCTGGCGACGGGTGGGAGAGGCGCCCACCCATGCCCTGCAGGGTTTGCAGGTGAACCCCCCCCCCCCCCCCAGCCCTGCCTCAGTTTCCCTTTTGGGATGGAAGGTGCCGGGGGGCCGCGGGCGGGGGGGATCTGGGGACACTGGTGCTGGGGTGAGGTGGCCGAGCCCCACGGGCCGGGGGCAGATGAGCTCGGCCACGGCCTTATCGCAGGCAGACGGCGGCGTTGCGGCGAGAGGGGGGGGCCGCAGCCGCGCCGTGTTTGCTGGGGATAAAGTGTACGGTACAGGCGGGGGCCAGGCTGGGGGTGCCGTCACCCTGCCACGCTGGCACCCCGGCTGCCACCAGCTGTGGGGATGGGGGGACACGGGGGGGACCCGGGGAGCCGGCGGGGACCGTGGGACCGCAGAGGACAAGGGGGGCTGTGAGGACCAGGGGGGCTGTGGCCACGGGCCACCCACCCACCACCCAGGCTGTCCCTCTGTCCCCAGCCCTGGGGCAGAGGACAGGGTCTGCTCTGGGCACCGCTGCGCCACAGGGACCCCCATCCCCTGGGGACCCCCATCCTCTGGGGACCCCCATCCCCTGGGGACCCCCATCCCCCGGGGAACCCCCACACTCTCGGTGTCACCATCCCCCGGGCAGCGCTGTCCCCTCGCTGTCCCCATCCCCTGGGCACTGCTGGGTCCTGAAAGCCGCAGTCCCCTGAGTGCCCCCCCACCCCGGGTGCTGCCACGCCCCGGTTACCCCCTCCCCTGGGTCCCCCCCCCCTCCCCTGAGTCCCCCCCATTCCCCTCGTCCCCTGAGCACCCGTGTCCCCTGGGTGCCCCCGCGCTGCCTGCGCCCCAAGGAGGGGCAGACACGGGGTTGGGGGGGGGGGGGATGGACACCAGGACGACCCCCCCGGAGCTCCCAGGGCCGTGCTGCTGTGGCCGGGGTGGGGGGACACACACACACCCACGGCAGTGGCCCTTTAAGGCCGGGCATGATGGGATGTGTAGTCCGGGGGGGCTGGGGGGGGGCACACACTGGGCGCAGGGGCTGCTGGGAAGGAGGTGGGGTGGGACGGGCGGGTTGGGGTGCTGTGGGGTGGGCACCCCCAGAGTCCCCCCCGCCGCGCCCCCAGTGGATGCCACCACCCCCCGGTCCCTCCCCACGGCGGGTCCCTGCTCCCCAGCCCCCACGCAGCCCCCCCACATCCCCCCGGGGGGGCGCAGGGGCAGGGCCCACCCGCCGTGGGGGTGCTGGGTACCCCGTGGGGCTGCCGGGGCCGGATCCTGCTCGGGGTGGGGTCGGGTGGGTCGTCCCCCGCCGTGTCGGGTGCGTGTCCCCGCACCGCGGCCGGGCTGGGCACCCCCGGGGTGCGGCGCTGGCCCCCGCCCCGTGGGCCCCGTCCCCCGTGGCACTGCCATTGCATCCCCGTGGCCGCTGTCCCCGGCTCCCCGTGGGCACTATCCCCACGCTGTGATGGGCACGGTCCCCAGCTCCGCCTCAGTCCTGTCCCACACCCTGTGGGCAGTGGCCCCACTCCCCACGGTCACTGTCCCCGCATCCCTGTGGGCACCTTCTCCCCGCCCCACCGCGGGCACCATCCCTGCGCCTCTGTGGGCACCGTCCCCAGCTCCCCGTGGGTGCTGTGCGCAACCCTTGTGGGCACCCTGTTGTCACTGTCACAGCATCCCTGTGGGCGCCATTTCCACGCGGCCACGGACCACCATCCCGGGGCCTCCGTGGGCACCGTCCCCAGCTCCCCGTGGGTACCGACCCCAACCCTGCGGGCACCACCCCCCCGTCCCCGTTCTCGTCGTCACAGCATCCCCGCGGGACCCGTCCCCAGCTCCCCGTGGGCACCCACGCACACCACCTCCACCCAACCATCGTCCTCCACCCGCCGTGATCCCCCCGGACCCGCGGGCGGGGTGGGGAGGCGGGTGTGGGGGGGGGGATCCCCTCGCGGGGCCTTCCCGCCTCCACCGTTTCCCCGCGGGGTCCCCACGCGGGATTCGTGGCGCGGGCGCGGCGGGTGCAGGGAGCGGCTCCGACCGGCGGAGGGGGCTGCGGCCGCGGTGGAGCGGGCGGGCGGGCGGCGGGGCCGGGGGAGGAGCCAGGAGCCGTCGGCCGCCGCCGCCGCTGCGCCCCGCTCCGCTCCGCGCCCCGCTCCGCGCCGTTCCGCGCCGCTCCGCGCCCGCCGCCGCCGCCCAGGTACGGCCCGAGGGGGCCCCGCCGCCGCCCCCCGCCCGGCCCCGCCGCAGCCCGGTTGTTTACCGACGGCTTCGGGGGGGGGGGGGGGGGGGAAGGGGGTGCCCACCCACCACCCCCCACCCCCCCCCTCCGCTCCCCAACCCCCCCTCCTCCCCACCCGCGGGGCGCCCCCCGACTGAGCCCGGGCGCATTCGGTGCGTGCAATGGGGGGGGTGGGGGGGGTGGGGGGTCGGGGCGGGTGGGCAGGGAGCGGCGGGGCGTGGGGGGTGGCCCCGGCCCGAGCGCGCACCGGGAGGAAATCCACGGGTAAATATTTTTCTTGAAAAATCCGGGCGTTTGGCGTGGAGCGGGGGGGGGGGGGGGGGGGCTGCGTGTCCCCCCTCCACCCCCCCCTCCTCCGTGGGATCGGGGAGGGGGGAGCCCCGCGCCTCCCCCCCCCCCCCTCCCCCCCGTTGGTGCAGCGCGGGGCACGGCCGCTTCCCACCGCCCGCCACGCCACGCCACGACCGGGGGGGTCGCGGGGGTGCTGCTGCCCGGCTTCCCCCCACCACCACCACCACCACGCACACACAAAACACGCCCGCAGCGCTGTGGACCCCGCGTCTGCTGCGTGGCCGTGGCGTGGCGGCGTGGCGGGGGCCCGTGGGCCCGGGCCGTGGCGGCGGCGTGGCTCTGCGGTGACGGCTGCGGGGCCGAGCCGCGGCGGGGCCGTGCCGTGGGCAGGTCTCGGGGCCGTACCGTGGGCAGGCCGTGGCCCTGTCGCGGCGCGGGGGGGGGGCCGTGGCCCGGCCGGGCCGTGACGGCGCCGTGGGGGGGCCGTGGGGAGACCGTGGCCGTGCCCCGTGGCCGTCCCCGCCCGCTCTCGCTCCTGGCAGCGGCGGCAGGAATGCCTGCGATTTATTTTTTTTTTTTATTATTTTTTGTATTATTTTTTTCTGCGCCGGGAGCAGCGCGCGCGGGGGGGGTTGCGGGGGGGGGGAGAGGCGGTTCGGCCGCTCCCGGTTGGGGCGGGGGCAGCGGTGGGGGGTGTCCCTGCAGGGGTGGGGGGGGGGATCTGGCCCCGCACCCCCGGGCTGCCCCCACCGAGCGGGGCGCGGGGCGTGGCGGGGGGTCCCCTCCCCACGGTCCCGCGGGAGGGGGGGGGGGGGGCGGGGCGCAGGACCGCCGCTTCCCCCCCCCCCCCCCAATCCAGCCCCGGGGTGGGCCCGATCCTGCCCGGGGTACTGCGGTCCCGGTGCCGCCGGCGGGGCGCGGGCCGGGCTCCGGTGCGTCCCCCCCGTGCGAAACGGGGAAACTGAGGCAGGGCAGCCGGGCGCCGCGGCCAAGGTCACCCCGGGACCGGCCGGCCTTGCCCGGGCCTCCGGCTCGACCTCGGCCCCGCGGCGACCTTCAGCCGGTGCCGCCGCCGTGACCCCCACGCCGCGGGGGGGTGGGCCGGGGCTGCGCCTCACCCCGCCTGACCCCCGCCGGCACCGGGGACCCCCGGGGCTCCGGCGGGGCGGGGGGAGCGGGGCCGGGGCCGCCGTGGGGCGCGGGCAGGTCCTGGTGGAACCGGTTTGGGGGGGGCTCCCCCGCCCGGGGGTCTTGGCGCAGGGTGGGGGCGCGGTGCATTCCCCCCCACCCCACCCCCCCTCCGCTTCGGTGCTGCCGTGCGGCTGCGTGTGCCCCCCCCCCCCGCAATGATCGCGCACGCCGGAGCAGCCCCGCACCCCCGGGACCAGCAGCGGTGGGGGGGGGGGGTGGGGGTGTGTGTCTCCGCTTGACACCCCCCACCCGGCTGCGGCCGTGACCTTCGCGGGGCTGCGGCGTGGCAGCCCCGGGGGGGTGGGGGGAGAGGAGGAATGGAGGGGGGAGCCCGGTTCGGGCACTCATGGCCGTGCACTCCCGTGGGGGGCCGCGCCCGCACCCCCAATCCCCGTCCCCTCCCGGGGGTGGGAGGGGGTATCGTCGCGGGTGGGGGGGCTGCTCCAGGAAGCGGGGGGGGGGGGAGCCCCCCGCTCCGCTCCCCGCCCCGCCGAGCACTTTCCCGGCCAAGCCTGGAGCAGCCGCCGAGCCGGGGGTCCCAACCCGTGTGTGTGTGTCCCCCCCTTATTCCCCCCCGCCCCGAACCCCGCGCAGCCGCCGGTGCGCGGTGGAGCGCGGGGGCGGGGCCGGACGCCTGGGTCCCCTTCCAGGCGGGTGGGGGGAAGCAGGAGGAGGAGGAGGAGGAGGAGGAGGAGGAGGAGGAGGGGGGGGGGGGGGGGGATGCGGTGAAGGCGAAGGCGGGCGCGGGCAGGACGCCCGGGGCCCCTCGCAGGCTGGATGCGGCTGGAGGGTGCAGGGCAGGGTGGGTCGGGACCCCCGCCCCCCGGGGCGGTGGCCCACAGAGGGTGGCCCCGGGGTCGGGTGGCCACGGGGACACTGCGGGGACTGTCCCCCCCCTTGCGTCCCCTTCCCAGGCGGGACGGGCACCCCAGGACAGGCTGGGTGCCGGGTCCCGCCGTCGGTGCCGACCCCAGGCACGTCGCGGTGAAGTGGCGGCTGCGTGTCCCCCCCGCCCCCCGGCTGCTGCGAGTGGGGCCCCCAGGGAGGGGACCCGGGATTGTCTCCCCCTCCCCATCCCGGCGCACGTGAACTGGAGCCCCCTGATTTAGAAACGTCCCCATCCCCGTGCCAAACTCTGAGTGCTGAGAATAGCTCCCTGGCGTCCCGGCACAGCCTCCCCGGGGACGGGGGCACCCTGCGGGGCTCGGCACCCGCAGCCGCCTCACCTGAGCTGAGACCGTGGGTACTCAGCACACGCCAGGCGCCCGCAGGTCCCCGTTGGGTGTCCTTTGTGGCCCGGAGGAGCGGGGGACACGGGGGTCTGGCCGCGTCCTGCTGTGCTGGCACAAGGGGCACGGCGCTGGGGGAAGTAGCACTGCAGCTCCTCCTCTGCTGGTGCGATGGGGAAACTGAGGCACGGCTGAAAGCGGCCGAGCGAGGTGGGGGAAGCAGAGCCGGGGCTGCCACCTCGTCCCAGCCGCACGCTCAGGCACTGTGGGAAGGAGCGGCCGGTACGGGTTTGGTTGGACTTAACGGCACCAGGAGTCCCTTGGGGGTCGTGGTGGCTGCGGGGCCGGGGTCACGGCGCAGGTCCCTGCAGTGGTGATGCAGGACCCGTCGGAAATGCGAGGCCGCGGCCACCCATGGGTGCCCGGTCAGCACCAGGGCAGGTCACTGTCCTCGCGGCCGCCTGCCTTCGTTCGGGTGGTGGCTCCACGGAGCCGTTGGCTCAGCCAGCCCGCGCCGCGGCACGGCCCGGAGCCCGCGAGCGTGGGGAGGGGGCACCACGCGGGTCCCCCCGTGGCACTGGGTGGGCTGTGCTGATGTCAGGCCCGTGGCATCCCCAGCTGCTGCGCGTGTCTGGGATTCCTGCAGCCTCCCGGTATGCCAGCCCCGCCGCGCGGTGCCGTGCGTGCCCCGCACCAGCACCGGGCACCACGCGACGGCACCGGGCACCGCGTGGCACTGGCTATAGGGTGCCACGCACCGGCAGCGGTGTGGGGGGTGAGCACATGCCCTGTCCACGGACAAGGACACGTGTGTGGCACCGGGCGCTGGCATGTGCCGGGTGCCACCAGCCGTGCCACGGCAGGTGCCCGTGGCGTGGTGCTGCCAGGGTTTCTCCGGCCAGGGTGCCCGCCGTGCCGCTGCTGGGCATCGCGCCCCTGTGAGTGCGGGGCTGGTGGGTCTGCCCACAGTGCCCTGCCCCCAGCCCACGCTAATCACGTTAATTGGCACCCTGGCTAAAGCGCTTAGGCCCTCACCTCCCTGACCCAACTGGCAGCTGGGCCGGGGGGAGGGAGCGCCCGGGACCCCCGGAGCCCATCTGTCCCCGTGGGTGCAGGGACACTGATGGGTGTCCCCTGGGGGCAGCCTCGGTGCCCGGCACCCGTGTCCAGCTGCGTGGAAATGGCTGGTGCCTTGGTGGAGGGGTGTCCCTCAGGCTGGGGTTCCCATCCGAGGGGGGGGGTGTCACGTCCTTGGGGAGTGGGGTGCTGGGTGCCCCCCACGAGGCGACGTGGCTCTCGCCGCTGGCCCAGCCCTGGACTTTGCCCCCAGGTTGTTTTCCATCGTCTGCAACCACCCGACTCAGCAGAAACGCTCCCCTGGGCGTGGGGCTGGGCTGGGGGGGGGGGGGTGCAGGGTGGGGGCCCCCACTGGCTGCCACCCCACTCCCACCCAGCCCCGCACCTGATTCCACAGGGTGGGGACACGCTGGTTGTGGTGCTACCTGGCACTGGGAGCAGAAGGGGGGGGGGGGGGGGCTGAGACCCGATTGCGCTCATCACACGTGTCCCGCCAAAGGAGGAGGAGGAGGAGGAGGAGGAGAGCCGCCTCCCCGTGTCTGTGTGTCTGTGTGTCTGTCTGGGCCGCCCCAACGCGCCCGGGATTCCTCGAGCGCCGGTTCCTGGAGCGGCACTGGCGGGCTCAGCCGGGCGCTGGGTGCCGGCGATCCCCGGGGGTGTCGGCGGGGGCTGCCGACGCCGGCTGCCGCGGGCGAGCCCCGACTTAGCGGGGCTGAGCCCTGGCTTTAGCCCTAAGCCCCTCTTAATTCCACACCTCTCACCGGCCAGGCCTCCCCGGCGGGGAAACTGAGGCAGCGGCGGCCGAGCCCACCCCGGGCCGGCTTTCGGAGCACCCCGCGCCCCGGCCCACGCGGCGCAGAGATGCATCCCCGGCCCCACACGTGCACCGAGCGGGTCGGGGCTCTGCTGGCACGCGGGGTCCCCGGGGGAAGGGGGGGCCGGGGGGCGGCGGGGGGGCCGGTGCCCAGCGGGGCCGCGGAGCCCTGGCGTGCAGCCAGTGCCTATACTTGGAAGTCTCCGTGCGCCGTTCCCATATGGAACGAACATTTGCTGCAGCCCCCGGCCGCGCCGCCCTGGCTCTATAGGTACAGCCGGCCCCAAAGCCCGGCCTGCAGCTGGGGTGAGGAGCCCGGGGACCCCCCGAGCCCCCCCCAAGGTGGGATGTGGACGCAGGGGTAGTGGGGTGCCCTGCGGTGCCTCAGTTTCCCGGCAGCGGCAGGGAATGGTTTCCCACCCCGGTGCACATGTTGGGGGGGGGGGGTCTGTGGGGACCCCTCGTGCAAACACCCCGCCCTTCCTCCCCCACCCCCCCCGCCACGCGTGCTCACCCCGCCGTGCACCCGTGGGTGCAGCATCCCTCGCCCCCATCCCTGTGCTGCCCGGGCATCCCCGGCTGGAGGGGGGCCAGGGGGCCGGGCCGGGGTGCTCCGTGGCGTGGAGGGGGGGGGGGGGGGGAGTGCCGGGGGAGGGGGGGGGCGGGTTGGGAGGATGGGGGGGGGGGGGGCCAGGCACAGCCGAGCCCCTGCCGCTGCGTTTTAAATCCGCCGGAGGAATTTCTGCCGTGGCCAAGACAAACGTGACCTACTTTCTGCCCGTCCCCGCACGGAGCGGAGGAGCCCGAGGGCCGGGCACGGCGCCCAGCACAGCCCCACGCCCCCCCTCCCCACGCCCCCCCCCCGGCACTGGCTGGGGGCCCCCGCACACCCCCCCTGGGCCTGGGGTGGGTCACCGGGGGTTCACAGGGGGGGATGGTTGCCAAGCGGGTCGTCTGTTCCCGCCCCCCCCCCCCTCCCCCTTCCCATCCCGCTGGGGTGCTGTGGGTGTGCAGGGTGGGTGCTGGGCACCCGGGGGGGGGGGGGGGGGACACGAGGCGGGGAGGGGGGGGGTGTTGCGTCTGCCAGGGTGGGGCCTTGGTTTCCCCATTGCCGGGAGGTTGCAGTGGGGGGGGTGAGGTGGGTGTCGTCCGTGTCGTGTCCCCCCCCCTCCCCGTGCTGCCCAGGCCCCACCACGCCCTGTTTTTGCTGCAGGAGAGCTCCAGAGGAGGGATCCCCCCGGCCCCCCCCGGCGCCCCCCTACCCCGTAAGTCTCCCCCCCCCCCCCCCAGCATGGGGATGGGTCACACGTGTGACAAATGCATCGGGGCTCAGCCTGGCCCCCAGGCGCTGCTGTCTGGGGGGGCTCCCCTGGGCAGGGGGGGCTGCCCTGGGCTCCCCCACCTCTTGGGGGTCCCCCCAGCTCTGCCCCATGGCTGGGTGCAGCACCCCCTGCCACCCCGGCCTGTGCGGGCGCTTCCCAGCACGCTCTCTCCCAGCCTTGCACACGCGTGCACACCCTCACACACCTGTGCACGCTCTCCTGTGCCTTGCATGCTCTTGCACACCTGTGCATGCTCTTGCACACCTGTGCACACTTTTGCATGCCCTGCACACTCTTGCCCAGCCTCACACACCCGTGCATGACTCTTGTGTGCCCTGAACACTCTCACACACCCGTGCACGCTCTTGCACACCTGTGCACACTTTTGCATGCCCTGCACACTCTTGCCCAGCCTCACACACCCGTGCATGACTCTTGTGTGCCCTGCACACTCTCGCACAGCTTTGCACACCCGTGCGTGCTCTCTCATGCCCTGCACACTCTCGCACAGCCTTGCACACCCATGCACACCTTCACACGCCCTGCACACCCTTGCTCAGCCTCACACACCCGTGCATGACTCTCGTGTGCCCTGCACACTCTTTCACAGCTTTGCACACCCGTGCATGCTCTCACATGCTCTGCACACTCCTGCCCAGCCTCGCACACCCATGCGTGCTCTCCCACACCTGTGCACGCTCTCGCACACCCATGCACACCTTCCCACGCCCTGCACACCCTTGCCCAGCCTCACACACCCGTGCATGACTCTTGTCTGCCCTGCACACTCTCGCACAGCTTTGCACACCCGTCCACGCTCTCCAATGCCCCGCACGCTCTTGCCCGGCCTTGCACACCCACCTATGCCCTTGCATACCCGTGCACGCCCTTGCACACCTGTGCACGCTCTCCCACACCCTTGCACGCTCTTGCCCAGCCCCGTGTGCTGTTGCACGGGCCCTCGCACGTCCCTCGTGCCCTCACCCAGCCCCGCACGCTCCCGCACACTCCTCACATTCTCCGTCGTCTCCCCCACCCCCCCAAGCCCTGCACTGTGGTGGGCGCTCCGGGGGGGGGGCTGCAGCCATCGTGCCCCCCCCTCACCCCCTCGCCGGGGGTCCGTGCTCAGCCGGGGTTTCTCTCGCAGGGTCCGGCCCGGGATGCTGCGTGGTGCTGAGCACTGAGGCGGGCGCCATGGGGTGCGCGTCGTAGCCCCCCCCCCACCCCCCCCCCCCGCCGTGGCCCCCCCGCGCGTGGCACCGGTGGCGGAGCCCACTCGGTCGGTGCTGAGCGCTCCTTGATGGAATTGCGGTGAATGGAACAGAAGCCCAGCACCCTGGACCCGCTGTCGGAGCCAGAGGACACCCGGTGAGCCCCCACCGCCGCCCCCTCGTGTCCCCCGCGTGGCCCCGTGGGGCCCCGCGCATCCCTGCCCGGCCGTGCAATGGTCCGTGGCCCCGTGCCCTCGCGCCCTGCGTGTCCCCAAATGGCCCCGTGCCCTGCGTGGCCCCGTGCCCTGCGTGTCCCGCCGTGCCCGTGCCCCGCGTCGCCCATACATCCCCATGTCCCCATGCGTCCCCATCCCCCGCGTGTCTCCCCCCCCCGCCACCCCCCCCAACCAACTCGTGCCCGCGCCCCCCCGGGGGCCTCTCCCAGTGTCCCCCCCCCCCCCCTTCCCCAGCCGGGGCCCCTCGGGCCACCCTGTCCCCGGGGCTATTTCGGGAGGGCCACCCGCTCTCACGTGCCCCGGGGGGGGGGAGCCAGGTCCGGGGTCACCTTGGGCTGGAGCCGGGGGGGACCCCCCCACCCTCTCCGGGGCCGTGTCACGGGTGGGGGCGCCCATGGGTGCGGGCCCCCCCCCCCCCCCCTCCCCACTCGCAGGTGCCCATCCCCGTGGCGTCGGGCCCCCCCCCCCGCCCCGGCCCGGCCGTGCCAGGCGCCTCGGCCAATGGGCTGGTGCCGTGCGGGCGAGGCGCGGACCCCCGCCGCCCGCCATTGGCTGAGCCCCTCTGATGTCACTTCCCCGCTGAGCCAAAAGGACATTTTGTCTTTGACTGAAAATGAGCCCCTCCCCCTCCCTCCCCCTCCCCCATCCCTTCCCTGCCCCTCCCCCCCCTTCCCTTCCCCCCCCCTTTCCCTTCCCTTCCCCTCCCCCCCTTCCCTTCCCCTCCCCACTCCTGCCCCCCCCCTCCCCGGGGGGTGATGCCGTGTCCCGGGTGGGGGGACCCCAAGGGCCCCTTCCCCCCCCCCCCTGCACCCACAGCTCTGCGCCCTGGCACCCCAGTGCCGGACCCCACCCGTGGAGGCGGGGGAAGGGGGGGGGGGATTGCAGGCGAGGGGTGCCCACCTCCCAACTGCGGGTGGGTGGGGGGCCGGGGGGGTGTTCGTGGGGGACTGGGGGGGGGGGTGGGGGTGCGTGGGGGGCTGGGGGGGCTGCGTCCCAACCTGGCCCCCTCCCGCAGGTGGCTGGATGGGAAGCGCAAAAGAAAGAGCAGCCAATGTTTGGTGAAGAGCAGCATGTCAGGTACAGCCCCCCCCCACACACACACACCCACCCACCCACTCCTCGGCACCCCCCACACCCCCCCCCCTGCACCCCCACGGGTGCCCCAGGTCCCTGCCGGGCCCCCCCAGGTCCCCCTGAGCAACCTCCCTGCCTGCATCCCACGGGTTCCCCACATCCTGGCGTCCCCCCGGGATCCCCGTGTCTCTGCTGGGTCCTCCAGGGTCCCACGGGCACCCCACGTCCCTAGTGGGCACCCCGGGAACCCCATGTCCTTGCCAGGCACCCTAGGGTCCCGCAGGCACCCCGCTCTCCTGCCCCACCCCCCCACTGCCACGGCCCCAGCACCCCACATCCCCACAGGGGCTCCAAGCGTCCACGTCCCCCGTGGGGGCCTGTCCCCCCCCTCCACACCCCGTGGCCGTGGGCCGGGGCAGCACTATCGGGGCCGGCAGCACCCTGGGGTGGGAGATAAGGGGGGCTCGGCCGGGCGCTGCCCCCCAGCCCTGCCCCATTCCCCAGCGGGGAGCGGCCGGCGCCGGCGGGATCCTGCCGGGGGGGGGGGGGGGGGGGAGGAGGGGCTGGTGGAGGGACCCGGGCGGCCACATCCCAGCCCCTCCCTCCCCACTCGGGTGGGGGGGCGACACGGGGACCCCCACCCCATCCAGAACCCACAGGGCACCAGGGTGGGATCTTGGGGTCCCCACGCCTGGGTTTGCTCAATCCCGGGGGGGTGTGTGTGCGGGGATCCCGGGGTGCTGGGGACAAACACACCCCCCCCCCCCAATGCATTGTAGGTGCTCTGTGCCTCAGTTTCCCCAGGAGGCCGGTGATGGGGGGGTGGGGGGGCTGGACCCCAGGCTGCCAGGCGGGGGGACCCTGGACAATAGCGGGGACAGTGGTCCATTGTGTGCTGGGGGGGGACGGGGAGACCCCCCCGCAGCCGGCTGGGGAGCTGGATAATGGGAGCTTTATTGCTGCGGGGGGCTCAGGCAGCCCCCCCCCCCAGCCCCCCGGCCTTTAACCCTTCCCGTGCCGGCGCTGCCCGCAGCGGGATGGGGGGTGACAGCAGGGCTGGGGGCAAGTGCTGCCTTAGGGGGAAACTGAGGCACTGGGTGGTGGGGGGGGGGGGGTGTGGCATGGTGGGACACACACACGGGGGGGTCCCTGATGTGTGTGCGTGTGTCCCCCCCCCCGCAGGGTACATCCCTAGTTACCTGGACAAAGATGAACAGTGCGTGGTGTGCGGGGACAAAGCCACCGGCTACCACTACCGCTGCATCACCTGCGAGGGCTGCAAGGTGAGGGGGGGCCGGGGAGGGGGGGGGGGGGAGTGTGTGTGTGTGGGGGGGGTGTCACCGGGGCTCACTCAGCGCCGGGGGGGTGCGTGCGTGTGTGTGTGTGTGTGTCCCCCAGGGTTTTTTCCGTCGGACCATCCAGAAGAACCTGCACCCCACCTACTCCTGCAAGTACGATGGCTGCTGCGTCATCGACAAGATCACCCGCAACCAGTGCCAGCTCTGCCGCTTCAAGAAGTGCATCTCCGTGGGCATGGCCATGGACTGTGAGTGCTGGGGGGGGGGGGGGGGGAACGGATTGGATTGGGGGAGGGCCCCCCCTGGGTGCCGCCGTGGGGACGGCTTGGGGTCCCGTGGCGTTTTGGGGTGGGTCGGGGCGCTGGAGTGTCGGGTGCGGGGTGCTACGCTGCAGCCGTGGGTCGGGGTGCCACGGTGCCCGGTGGAGGGGAGGGGGGGGGGGGACACCCACCGGCTGACAGTAGTATGGGGGGGGGGGGGCTGGCTCCCTGCAGTGGTGCTGGATGATTCGAAGCGGGTAGCGAAGCGGAAGCTGATCGAGGAGAACCGGGAGCGGCGGCGGAAGGAGGAGATGATCAAGTCGCTGCAGCATCGCCCCAACCCCAGCGCGGAGGAGTGGGAGCTGATCCACGTGGTGACGGAAGCCCACCGCAGCACCAACGCCCAGGGCAGCCACTGGAAGCAGAAGCGGAAATTCCTGGTGAGGACACGGGGAGGGGGGGAGTGGGGGCTGCCAGCACCCCAGCCCCCCCCCCCCACACCCCCTTCCCCGGCTCTGGGTGCTCTCAGCTGAGCACCCCCGCGCTCGGTGCACGTGTGGCGGGCAGTGCCCGTGGTGCTCCTGCGCCGAGGGGGCGGTTGGAGCTGGGGGTTTGGGATGTCACCCGGTGTCCTTGAGCTTGTCACCCCCCCCCCCCCCCCCCCGAAGGGTTAAGGGGTGAGCGGTGACCGAAGGGGACAGCTGTGCCTGGAGGGGTGGCCCCGGCCCTGTCCCTGTGCTCCCTCTCCTGGCTGCTGCCCCGCACCCAGCCCTGCCTCGCTTTCCCCCCCCTCGCCGAAAAAGGGGGTCTGGGGGGGCGGGCGGGGGCCGCCGCACCCCCCAAACGCCGCCGTCCATCCCCGCAGCCCGAGGACATCGGCCAGTCGCCCATGGCCTCCATGCCCGACGGGGACAAAGTCGACCTGGAGGCGTTCAGCGAGTTTACAAAAATCATCACCCCGGCCATCACCCGCGTGGTCGACTTTGCCAAAAAACTGCCCATGTTTTCGGAGGTAAGGGGCTTGGGGGGTGGCGGGGTTGGGGCCGCCGTGGTTCTCCCCCCCCCTCCCCGTCTCCAACACTGACACCGTGTCTCTGTACGTGTGTGTGTCCGTGTGTGTCCCCCCCCCCCCCAGCTGCCTTGCGAAGACCAGATCATCCTGCTGAAGGGCTGCTGCATGGAGATCATGTCGCTGCGGGCGGCCGTGCGCTACGACCCCGAGAGCGAGACGCTGACGCTCAGCGGGGAAATGGCCGTCAAGCGGGAGCAGCTCAAGAACGGCGGCCTCGGCGTCGTCTCCGACGCCATCTTCGACCTGGGCAAGTCCCTCTCTGCCTTCAACCTGGACGACACCGAGGTGGCCCTGCTCCAGGCCGTGCTGCTCATGTCCTCAGGTAGCGGGCGCCGGCGGCTGCCCCCGGGGCTGCTGGGGGGGGGGGGATTGGGGTGGGCACCCCAACACCCGGTGCCTGAGGAGCCATGGGGGTGCACGCGGCAGGCGCCTTGATGCCCAGAGTTCTCAGCAACCTGGGGTCCATTGGGTGGGCACCCCAGTGCTCAAGAGCCCCCAGCATCTCGGGGGTCCATTGGGTGGGCACCCCAGTGCTCAAGAGCCCCCAGCATCTCGGGGGTCCATTGGGTGGACACCCCAGTGCCCAGAGCCCCCAGCATCTCGGGGGTCCATTGGGTGGGCACCCCAGTGCCCAGAGCCCCCAGCATCTCGGGGGTCCATTGGGTGGGCACCCCAGTGCCCAGAGCCCCCAGCATCTCGGGGGTCCATTGGGTGGGCACCCCAGTGCCCAGAGCCCCCAGCATCTCGGGGGTCCATTGGGTGGGCACCCCAGTGCTCAAGAGCCCCCAGCATCTCGGGGGTCCATTGGGTGGGCACCCCAGTGCTCAGAGCCCCCAGCATCTCGGGGGTCCATTGGGTGGGCACCCCAGTGCCCAGAGCCCCAAGTATCTTGGGGGGTCCATTGGGTGGACACCCCAGTGCCCAGAGCCCCCAGCATCTTGGGGATCCATTGGGTGGGCACCCCAGTGCTCAAGAGCCCCCAGCATCTCGGGGGTCCATTGGGTGGGTACCCCAGTGCCCAGAGCCCCAAGTATCTTGGGGGGTCCATTGGGTGGACACCCCAGTGCCCAGAGCCCCCAGCATCTTGGGGATCCATTGGGTGGGCACCCCAGTGCCCAGAGCCCCCAGCATCTTGGGGGTCCATTGGGTGGGCACCCCAGTGCTCAGAGCCCCCAACATCTTGGGGGTGCAGGACGTGGGCACCCCAGTGCCCAGAGCCCCCAGCATCCTGGGTGTGCGTGGGGTGGGCACCCTGGGGAAACTGTCCCCCACAGGCTTTAGGGGGATATGGGGTGGGCACCCCGGTGCCCTCAGCGGGCACAGCCAGGAATTCCCAGGGTGGGCACAGAAGCACCTGCTGCCCTGGGAGCTGGGGGTGCATGGGGCGGGGCACCCCAATCCCCAGCGCCCAGGAGCCTGGAGGTGCACGGGGTGGGTTCCCCAATCCTCGGCACCCAGGAGCCTGGGGGTGAAGGGGGTGGGCTCCCCAATTCCCAGCACCCAGGAGCCTGGGGGTGCAGGGGGTGGGCGCCCCAATTCCTAGCACCCAGGAGCCTGGGGGTGCAGGGGGTGGGCACCCCAATCCCCAATTCCCAGGAGCCTGGGGGTGCAGGGGGTGGGTTCCCCAATTCCCAGGAGCCTGGGGGTGCAGGTGGTGGGCACCCCAATTCCCAGCACCCAGGAGCCTGGGGGTGCAGCGGGTGGGCACCCCAATTCCCAGCACCCAGGAGCCTGGAAATGCGGGGGTTGGACACCCCAATCCCCAGGAGCCAGGAGCCTGGGGGTGCAGGGGGTGGGCACCCCAATTCCCAGCACCCAGGAGCCTGGAGATGCAGGGGTTGGACACCCCAATCCCCAGGAGCCTGGGGGTGCAGGGAGTGGGCACCCCAATCCCCAGCGCCCAGGAGCCTGGGGGTGCAGGGGGTGGGTTCCCCAGTTCCCAGGAGCCTGGGGGGTGCAGGGGGTGGGCACCCCAATCCCCAGCGCCCAGGAGCCTGGGGGTGCAGGGGGTGGGCACCCCAATCCCCTGCACTCAGGAGCCTGGGGGTGCAGGGGGTGGGCACCCCAATCCCCAGCGCCCAGGAGCCTGGGGGTGCAGGGGGTGGACACCCCAATCCCCAGGAGCCCGAAGTGCATGGAGTGAGCACCTCGATGTCCTGGGGAGCAGCGCCAGGCTGATGGGTGAGGCGGCAGGGGGGGTGTGTGTGTGTGTGTGTGTGTGTACAAGGTGGGCACCCCAACACCCCGGGGCGGGGGGCGGGGGGGGGAGCGGGGTGCAGGAGAGCCGTGCCGGTGGGGGTCGTCCCTGTCCCCTGGCAGACGTCGGCTTTTCTGCGCCCGCAGACCGGACGGGGCTGATCTGCGTGGAGAAGATCGAGAAGTGCCAGGAGACGTACCTGCTGGCCTTCGAGCACTACATCAACTACCGCAAACACAACATTCCCCACTTCTGGCCCAAGCTGCTGATGAAGGTGACGGATCTGCGGATGATCGGCGCCTGCCACGCCAGCCGCTTCCTGCACATGAAGGTGGAGTGTCCCACCGAGCTCTTCCCCCCCCTCTTCCTCGAGGTCTTCGAGGACCAGGAGGTGTAGGGCTGCCGTGCCCCCCCCCCCCCCCCAATCCTCCTCCTCCAGCCCTACACCCCCCACCCCCATGAAAAAAAAAAAAAAAAAAATTTTTTTTTTTTTTCTTATCCCTCCCCACCCTCCCCCCCCACACTCCCCCACCAAGGGGTGAGGGCGGAGGGATGCTGCGCCCGGAGGGGGGGTCCCCGCTGTGCCCCCCGCCCCCCCGCTGCCCCCCCCGCGCCCCAGGACTTGACGAATTTTGTTTGTTTGCACAGGGAAGGGCCCCGACGGTCGAGCGTTTCCTTTATTGTCCTTCTCTTCTTAGATTATTATTTTTTAAGCATTTATTTCCCTCCCTGAGAGGCTAAAATATTAAACTAACTGCACTTTGGAAGGAGAGAGGAGGAGGAGGAGGAGGAGGAAGAGCAGAGGAGAGGAGGGGGCTCTGGGCTGCACAGGGAGAGGCTGCCCCGGCCGGGGGGGCCGCGGCCACATGCACTTTTGGCCGGGCAGCGGTGCAGGAGCTGGGGGGGGCCAGGACCCCCCCATAGCGGGGGGCACAGGGGGCACAGCAGCAGCGAGGGGGGGGACGGGACCCCCAGCCCGTGGGGGCGCAGGGCTGGTGGACACCCCCCCCCCCCCCCCAACACCCCGGTCCACTGGCCTCTGGGTCTGCCCCGGCTGGGGTGACCCCCCCACCCCACACCCCCCCCACACACACACACACAACCCCCCCTTCAAATTCGGGGCCAGATTTCGGGGCTTTGGTTTTTCTCTGTCTTTTTTTGGGCTGAGAGGAGACGATTTTGTGCCAAGCACCGGTGGACGGTGGGCGCTGCGGGACGCTGGCGGGGGGGGGGTCGTGGGGACCTGCTGCGGCTGCCCCCCCCCCCACACACCCCCACCTTTTCCGTTGTCCTTTTTTTTTGTTGGTGTTTTTTTTTTTTGGTTTTGTTTTTGTTTTTTTTTGTTTTTTCCCCCTCGTCCTCGTGGGTTTATTTGTCATGTCCGTCAGGAGTTGCGAAGGCCCTGGAGGTGCTGGTGGGCGGGGGGGGGGGGAAATGGGGGGGGGGCAGTGGGTGCCCTCCCCGGGACCCCCGCACGGCCTCCACTGCACTACTGCCCTGGCCCCCCGGCAGCAGCACTTCGGGGGGCTGCACCCCCCAACCGCCCCCCCTGCTCCCGGGGGGGGGGGGCTGGGCTGCGGTGGGGGCTGGCGGGGGGCTCTGGGGGAGGGGGGGGCCAGGCTCAGCGGGGGGCAGGGCTGCAGTGGGGGCGCCCAGGAATGGTTTTATCACCTTTTCCCGCCCCCCCCCCCCCCACCCCCCATTTAGGTTTGTGAATTTTTTCTTACCTCAGGCGGAGGCTGAGGGGGGGCGCGGGCCGGGGAGCAGCCGGCGAGGCAGGCAGCCTGCCGGGGCCCACCTAAGCTAATATATATATATATATATAAATATATATAAAATATATAATTTTTGTAATTAAAAAAAAAAAAATCTTTTTACGGGTCGTTTAAAAGCAGAAATCCCAACACGAGATACTTCCCCCCCCTACCCTGGGCACAGGGGGCCAGGCCGGGGCCCCCCGCCGCACCCTGGCCCCCCCCCCCCCTCCATGGGGGTGGTGTGGGGGGGCCCCGCCGGACCCCCTGCAGCCGGGTGGGGGGGTGCAGAGGGGCCGTGGCGTGGCAGGGCCGTGGCACCCGGGGGGGGGGGGGTCACGGTACCCTCGGCCCCCCCGCCGCAGGGCCAGCTTGGCATTTGGTGCGAAATGTCTTAAACCCTCACCCCGGGGGCCCGGCACGGCGAGGGGGGGGGAGGTGGGGGGGGGTCCTGGCGCAGCCCCCGGCGGGCACGGCTGCACCGGCTGCGGGTTGTGCAATAGGAGCCGGTGCCAGGAGACACTAACGCCCGTGCCGGGGGGGTGCAGGGTTTGGGGATTCACACCCCCCCACCCCGGCAGCACCGGCCCCCCCCCCCCCCCCTTCCCACCCCCCCCCCCATGCCCACGGTCAGCCCCTGCCCCCCGCACGCCAGCCTTCACACGTGCCTTCGGGCGGGGGCTGCGGCCCCCCCCCCGGCACGGCACCCGGGGCTGTGCCTGTAACGGCACCGGGTGTGCTGGAGCGGTGGCCACGTAACGGCCACGCGTGCTGGTGGAATGCCGGTGCCGTGGCCACGCCGTGCCCTGCAGTGGCCACACGTGCCGGCACGATGCAGGTGCAGTAGCCACGCCGTGCCCTGCAGTGGCCACGCGTGCCGGCACGATGCCGGTGCAGTGGCCACTCCATGCCCTGCAGTGGCCACGTGTGCTGGCACGATGCAGGTGCAGTGGCCACGCCGTGCCCTGCAGTGGCCACATGTGCTGGCACGATGCAGGTGCAGTAGCCACACCGTGCCCAGCAGTGGCCACGCGTGCCGGCACGATGCAGGTGCAGTAGCCATGCCGTGCCGGCACAGTGGCCACGCGTGCTGGTGCAGTGCTGGTGCAGTGGCCACACAGTGCCAGCACAGTGGCCACCTATGCTGGTGCAATGCCGGCACCGTGGCCACTCCGTGCTGTGCAGTGGCCCACGTGTGCTGGCAAAATACAGGTGCAGTGGCCACACCGTGCTGTTCAGTGGCCACGCGTGCCGGCACGATGCAGGTGCAGTAGCCACGCCGTGCCCTGCAGTGGCCACGCGTGCCAGCACGATGCAGGTGCAGTAGCCACACCGTGCCCTGCAGTGGCCACGCGTGCCGGCACGATGCCGGTGCAGTGGCCACTCCATGCCCTGCAGTGGCCACATGTGCCGGCACGATGCAGGTGCAGTGGCCACGCCGTGCCCTGCAGTGGCCACATGTGCTGGCACGATGCAGGTGCAGTAGCCACACCGTGCCCAGCAGTGGCCACGCGTGCCAGCACGATGCAGGTGCAGTAGCCATGCCGTGCCGGCACAGTGGCCACGCGTGCTGGTGCAGTGCTGGTGCAGTGGCCACACAGTGCCAGCACAGTGGCCACCTATGCTGGTGCAATGCCGGTACCGTGGCCACTCCGTGCTGTGCAGTGGCCCACGTGTGCTGGCAAAATACAGGTGCAGTGGCCACACCGTGCTGTTCAGTGGCCACGCGTGCCGGCACGATGCAGGTGCAGTAGCCACGCCGTGCCCTGCAGTGGCCACGCGTGCCAGCACGATGCAGGTGCAGTAGCCACGCCGTGCCCTGCAGTGGCCACGCGTGCCAGCACGATGCAGGTGCAGTAGCCACGCCGTGCCCTGCAGTGGCCACGTGTGCCGGCACGATGCCGGTGCAGTGGCCACTCCATGCCCTGCAGTGGCCACGTGTGCTGGCACGATGCAGGTGCAGTGGCCACGCCGTGCCGTTCAGTGGCCACAGGTGCTGGTGCAATGCAGGTGCAGTGGCCACGCCGTACCGGCACGGTGGCCACGCGTGCTGGCATGGTGCCGGTGCCGTGCCCGTGTGTTCCCGTGGCCAGACAGACCCCCCCCCACGCCATGTGTTGCCCCCCCTTCGCTGCCCCCCCCCCCCGCCGTGGCTGGGCAGCGCTGGCGCGGGACGTGTCTTAAGCAGCGAACGTGACCCCCCCCCACCCCCCCCCCAGCCGGGTGCGGGCCCCCCCCCCTCCCCGGGCAGCAGCATGGTGCCCTGGGGTGGCTCATCCTGGGGGGGGGGAGGCTCAGCCCGGCCCCCCCCCTACCCCCCCACTGGCCAGCACACCCTCGCACTCCCCCCGTGCCCCCCCCCGGGCCTCTCCCTCTCGTCTCCGTCTCGCGTCGCCATCGCACGTCCAGCATCGGCTTCGCCCCGGGGAGGGCAGGACCGGTGCCCCCCCCCCCCGGCCACCACCTCCCCGGGCCGTCCCCGTCCCCGCGTCCCCCCCCCCTGTCCCCGCGTCCCCCCGTCGTCCCCCCCCCCCGACCCCCCCCAAGCACATACCTCATGGCTCCCAGAGCTGCCCCTGCTTGGGGCCGCGTCGAGCCCAGCTGGCACGGCTCGGCACGGCCTGGCACGGCTCGGCACGGCCCGGCACGGGGTCCCCCTACTATGCATGGTGCCGCGGCGGGGGCTGCGGCCGGCGTCGCTGAATGTAGGGCGGGGGGACGGGGGGGGGGGGCCACTGAGCTCCGTGACAATCACAGTCTGTGACGTGCGATTTTAAACCCTTTTGTGTTTTGGTCAGGATTTTAAAGAAAGATATTTTTATGGTAATTGTTGCTGGTCTATTTTACTATATATTTATGTAATAAATATATGATGAAAAAAAAACAAAAACAAAAAAACAAAACAAAAAAAAAAAAAACAACCAACCAAACCCACCCAAACCCACCCACACAGCTCGGCTGGATCCGGCCTCTGCTTTCCACCGCTGGCTGCTGGAGTGGGGGGGCCAGGGTGGGGGAGCCCCCCTGGCACTGCCAGTGGAGTTGTGGGGCTGGCACCCATCTCGGGGAGCGGGGGGGGGGGGTCCTGGCATCCTGGTGCCCACTTGGGAGTTGGGGTGCAGCCCCCCGGGAGTCCGGTGGGGGTTCATCTGTGTGTGTCCTGCCCGTGAGGTTATGTACAGAGGGCGGGGGGGGGGGGGGGTGCACGGCGGGGTGGGGGGGGATGGGACACGGGGGGGGGGGGTGGTCCCCGGGGTCCGTGGGGGGCCCTACTGGGCATCGATGCGGAAGGAGAGCAGCTTCTCGGAGTGGAGGTTGTTGAGGGTGCGCAGGTCCGGCAGCTTCAGCAGCAGTTTGGTGAACCGCGACGTTTCGGCCGGGTGCGTCTTCAGGACGAGGGCGCGCAGGGCGCGGATCAGCGTCTCCTGCAGCTGCTCCACCGACGCCGTGTCCTCCATGCCCGAGCGGTCTGCGGGGACGGGGCGTCAGCGGGAAGGTGCTGACGCCCACCCACCCCCCTAGAACACACCCCCCCCCCCCCCCGACATCGCCCCGGCTCCCACCTGCCGAGACCAGCACGACGGCGGTGAAGAGCCCCAGCTCCTCGTCGGTGAGGTCAAGGGCGCTGAGCTTCTCGCTGAACTCGAACATGGAGCTGAGCAGGTCGCCCATGCCCATGCCCCACAGCTCCTCCAGGCTGTACTTCGTCCGGCTCATGAACGTCACCGTCTGCTCCTTGACGTCGAAGAGCGAGGCGAAGCGAACCATCAGCACCTGCGGCACACGCGGCACATCAGCGGGGGCGGGGGGGGGGGCACCGTGCCGTGCCCCGTGCCGGGCATCCTGCAACGCCGCGGGCGACCCCGTGGGGCACCGTGCTGGGCCGTGGGCTACTGCGCGATGGCGAGGGGCATCCTGCGGTGCTGCGGGCTGCCGCGGGGCACCGTACAATGCCATGCTCCGTGCCACAGCTCCGCGCCGTGGGGCACTGTGCCGTGCCGTGGGCCACCATATGATGGTGTGGGGCTCCACGCCATGCCGTGGGGCTCCGTGCAATGCCATGGGGCACTGTGCCATGCTGTGGGGCACCATGCAATGCCGTGGGGCGCCATGCCACGCCGTGGGGCGCCGTGCAATGCCATGGGGCACCATCACAAGCTGTGGGGCACCATACAATGGTCTGGGGCTCCATGCCATGCCGTGGGGCACCGTGCAACGCCGTCGGGGACCGTGCAATGCCGTGGGGCACTGTGCCATGCCGCGGGCCACCATCACAAGCTGTGGGGCACCATACAATGGTGTGAGGCTCCATGCCATGGTCTGGGGCTCCGTGCCATGCCGTAGGGCACCGTGCAACGCCGTCGGGGACCGTGCAATGCCGTGGGGGACCGTGCCATGCCACGGGCCACCATCACAAGCTGTGGGGCACCATACAATGGCGTGGGGCTCCATGCCATGCTCTGGGGCACCGTGCCATGCTGTGGGGCACGGTGCAACGCTGTGGGGCACGGTGCAATGCTGTGGGGCACTGTGCCATGCCGTGGGGCACTGTGACAGGCTGCGGGGCACCGTGACAGGCGTTTGGACTTCATGCTGGGCCACAGAGCACCAAGCAATGCCGTGGGGCACCGTGCCCTCCACCGAGCCCTCGCCGTCCCGGGACGTACCTCGAAGGTGCCGGCCTTGAGCAGGGTGACCTGGTCGTGCTGGGAGAGGGCCTGGAAGCCGGGAATGTGCTTGGCGAATTCGACCACCTCACGGACGGCGGGGGTGAAGCTGAGGGAGAAATCCTCCCAGATCTCCTGCACCGAGCGCCCGCTGCGGCCGGGCAGGTGGCTGTTCATGGGGCAGGCCTGCGGGCGACGGCACGGCTCAGCTCGGCGCCGCGGGGCTCCCCCGGCCCCGCCGCCGCGGCACGGACGAGGCGATTAGTGCGATTAGCGGCTAAAAATACCCGGGGCGGGGAGCGGGAGCCCCCGGGCGCTCACCGGCAGGACGTCCTTGGTGCCGCGGGGCCAGGGGCAACCCCGCACGGGGGGGTCGGGGTAGGCGGGGGGGCAGAGCCGGGGCTCAGGGGGGCCGGGGGCCCAGGCAGGGGCTGTGTCCCAGCGCAGGAGGCTGCTCTCGCAGGCGGGGGGGGGTCCCAGCTTGTCGTGAGCGTAGACGAAGATCTCCTTGTGGGCCTTGGCCACCTGCGCGATGACGTCCTCGGTGGCCCCCCCGGGGCTGGGCGAGCGGGGGGGAGTCAGCTGCTGGGGGAACTGGGAGAAGCAGGCGGGGGGGGCGAGCGGCAGGGGGCCGGGGGGAGGAGCGCGGCCCCCGCTCGACGCTGGACCCTCGCCGGGCATCCCCGGGGGGGCACTGCCCATGCCGCTCATGGCGCTCTGCATCTCCGCCAGCATCCGCTGCTTCTCCCGCTTGGGGATGCGCCCAAAGCGCACCGCTGCGGGGGACACCGGTGTTAGTGGGAAGCCGGGGTACACTGACCCCCCCACCCCACCACTCCCCGCAGCCCTGTGTGATGTGGGGCGGGGGGGGGAAAGACCAGGAGCTGCCAGGGCCGTGGCTGCATCCCAACACCCCAGCTTGGAGGGGACCCATAGCCCTGAGCAGAAGGTGGGGGGGGACACCCATCCCTGGGGGGTACCCACAGCCCTGATCAGAAGGTGGGGGGGGACACCCATCCCTGGGGTGGACCCACAGCCCTGAGCAGAAGGTGGGGGGGGGACCCCCATCCCTGAGCACGTGAAATTGGGGGACCCATCCCACGAGGCAGGCATGGCACCCAGTGTGGGCAGGGGACCCGACTCTGGGGGGGACCTACAGCCTTGACCACGGCGGGGACCCATCCCAGGAGGGGACATGCAACCCCAGGCATGGGGGATCCCCCCCCTCCCCGCCCCCCAGGGGGCTGTACAGCACTGAACATGGGGTGTCCTGGGGGGGGGAGGCCTGGGGGAGGGGTCCAAGCTCACCGTCACGGGACATGCCGACCAGCAGGCACTTCTTGAAGCGGCACTGCTGGCAGCGGTTGCGGTTGATGCGGACGATGGAGCAGTTCTCGTTCTTGAGGCACTTCTTGTACTGGATGTTCTGCTGGATGCTGCGGCGGAAGAACCCCTGCGGGGCAGGGGGGGTGGGTCACTCGGGCCCCCCCCCCCAACACCCCCCCAGCACGGCAGGGGCTCCGCGCTGCCCCAGCCCCAGCCCCGGTACCTTGCAGCCCTCGCAGGCGTGGACGCCGTAGTGGAAGCCGGAGGCGACGTCCCCGCAGACCTTGCAGAGCAGCACCATCCCGTTCAGCTCTGCCGGGGGATGGGGAGGGGGGTGAGCGGGGTCCTGGGGTACCCACCACGGGAGGGGGACACACACCCCCCCGCCCCACTCACTGGTGACGGTGCTGCCGGTTTTGCTGGGCGAGCTGCGGCGCCGCTCGTCTGCGGGGACCTGCTGCACCGCGGGGAAGTTCACCGAAGAGCCGTACGAGGAGGAGGAGGAGGAGGAGGAGGAGGAAGGGGAGCCATCCTCACGGGGGGCCAGCGAGCCCCCGCCGTAGGCGCGGGAATCCTGGAGGGAGCCGGTGGGCGAGGGGGGAAAATAGGTGGGGAAGGGCTGGGAGCCCGACTGGGAGCTGCCGTTGGAGCTGTCGCTGCAGAGCGAGACGGGGCTGGTGCGGTTGGGCGAGGCGCCGCTGGAGCCCACGTAGCTGATCACACCGCCTGCGGGCAGAGCAGCGGGGCCACACATGCACCGAGCTGCGCCGGGGCTCAGCCTCCCCCCTCCGGAGAGGGGACCCCGAGAGGGAGATGGCGGCCCCAGGCGGGATGGGGTCCCCAGGGAAGCACCCCGGCCCCACGGGTTGTCCTGCTGCGCCGCGGCCGTGCCGCCCGCCCGGAATCAGGCACCGCGCTGGCCACGGGTGCCGGCCCCACGTGGGACGGGGACAGCCGGGTGCGTGCCGGCTGGGGACACCGGCGCAGCGCCCCGGAAGTGTCCGTGGGAGGAACGTGGGCCGGGAACCCACCGGAGGCGTAACCGGGAGGTCAGGGCAGTTCGCGCCCGCCGGCTCGGGCCCCACGGCGCAGAGGCACACACACACCCCCCCCCGCCCCCCCACGCACGGGGCAGGGGCGGCAGCACCGGGACACGGGCTGGGGCTGACTCAGGGCCGGGACACGTGGCAGGTGATGTCGGGGACACACGGGACCGGCGGGGCCATGTGCCGCCCGCCGCACACGGTGCCGCTGGCACGGTTGCCGCACGCCGGAGCCAGCTTGCCGCCACCCGTTACCCCCCCAACACCTCCCCTCTCCAGAGGGGGGGGGGGGGGGTGTCACCAAATTGGGGACAGTGGGGCTCAAACCACCCCCCCCCCCTCAAAAAACTGCAGATTGACGCTAGTTGCTGGGGACACCAAAATACTGGGGGGATTCCCCCCCCCCCCAAAGCCCCGGGACCCCCCTTTGGGGGGGGGGAATCCCCCCAAGGGGTTGCACCAGGACGCGGGGACCATTCCCGACCCCGCAGCACCGGGATCCCCCGGGGACACCCCCCCCTTCCCCCACAAAACACCCGACCCACAGCTTTGCCCCCCCCCCCCCCAGCTCAGGCGGCCTCACGCCGCCGCCCCACGTGCTCGAGCCGCACGTGGCCTCCCGCGGTCCCGCCCCTTCACGCTTTGCCCCGCCCCAGCCCCCCCCATTGGCCCATCGCGACGCTCCGCCCCTTTCTCGTTGCCCCGGAGATAACGCCCCCCCCCCCCCCGCACACACTTTCGCGCCCCCCCCCCCGTGTTGGAAAGGGCGAGTGGAACGCGGCGTCCCCGCTTCCGGGTGTGACGTCACGGTGGGGGCAGCGATGATGTCATGAAGCGACCAATGGGCGGGGGCGGGGCGGGGCTGCGGGGAAAACAAACTCCGCACGTGGCAGCGGCGGGGAGGGGGACACGTGCCGCCGGGGGGGGGGGGGGGGGGGGGCACCGCCTCCGTTCCGTTCCCCCCCCCCTTAACCTCCCCCCGCTCCGCTCCTCCCGGGGCGCGTCCCCGCGTGGGGCGCCCGGTCACGCGTGGCGCCGCCTCCACCGCCCACGGGCTGCGCGGGACACCTCGGTGCACCGAGCCCCTTCCTTTCCCCCCCCCGACCCCGCGTCCAGCGCGCCCCGCGGTCCCGGTCCCTGCTGCCCCGGTGCTCAGGTCGCCGCGCTCTGCCAGGCGCCCCCGGGGTGCGTGTCGGTGTGTCCGTCCCGGTGTCCGTGTGCCCCCCCCCTCCCCTCCCGGTGCCCCATCCTTACCCCGCTCCCGGTGCGCAGCAGCCCCGTTCCCAGATGCGCATCCTCCCCGCCGGGGCTGTGCCGTGACCACCCCCCCCCCCCGTGCAGCCCCGGACCCCTCCGACTCACGGTCTCAGCTCTCCCGGTGCACCGACACTGCCGCCCCCCCCCCCCCCCCCCCCCCCAACCTCCGCTCCCCGGTGCTGCCGGCGGCGCGGCACTGACCTGTGCTGCCGGCCTCGGGGGCGGCCATCCTTTGGGGGGGGGGGGGGGACACGGACGGGAGGACGGGACACACACGACACACACACACACACCCCCCCCCGAGCCGAGCCCCGCCGCTCCGCTCCGCTCCGCCGCCCGGCCGCGGCCGTTGTGCGCCCGCCGCCCGCCCCGCCGCCCGCCCGGCACCGGCCGCGGCTGCGCACTGGGCCGCACGCGGCGCCGCCGCCTCCCCCATGTGATTCCCGGGGAGCGCCTCGTGCCCCAGTGACACACTTTCCGCCGGCGGCCCCGGCCCCGCGCCGCCGCCCGGAGAGACCGGGAACAGCGGGGGGACCCCCCCCCCCACCCCCCACCCCCCCACCTTGGGGCCGCCCCACCGGCACCGGGAGCGGCACCGGGGGCACCCGAGCGTGGCACTGGCACCCCCGTCACCCAGCCCGGCGCTGCCCCCTGCACTGGGGATACGGGGGGACGCCTGTCACCCCGCACAGCGTGGTCCCTCCACGGGGAACGTCCAGCACGGCGCCGTCCCCTCCCCTGGGGACACCTGAGCACGGCACTGTCCCCTGCACCGGGGAGCCCCAGGCGCAGCACCGGCACCCCCCGGCACCCTGCACGGCACCATCCCCTCCCCGGGGACACCCGGGCACCCGTGTCACCCACCACAGGACAGTCCCTGCGCTGGGAACACCCAGGTGCCCCTGTCACCCCACGTGGCACTGGGGACACCCAGGCACAGTGTGACACCCACACCCACACCCACACCGGGGATGCCGGTGCACGGCACAGCCCCAGCGCGGCACAGCCTGCCCCCCACCCCGACCCAGCCCCCGCTCTGTGCCACCCCCTGTGCCCCCTTCCTTGTCCCCAGTGCCACCGGGGCCGTGCGCTGCCTGCGGCGGGTGCCCGGCGTGGCACGTGCCTGGCAGCTGTGACCCAGCTTGGCCCCGCTCCCGGCTGCCGCAGGGGCTGCAGCGACGTGCCGTGCCCGGTGCCGCGGTGCCAGGGCAGAGCCGCCGCGTAGATCTGGGTCACGGCACGGGGGCCAGCCCATCCCAGTGGCACTGGGGTCTCTGTGGGTGCTCGTGGCTCGGAGTGGAAGGGGGGGTGGAAGGTTTTAGGGGTGCCAGCACCCTCCTGGGTGCCACGTGTTGGGTGCTGCCCTGGCCCCCAGCCAGGAGGAGAAGCGCGGATGTGCCAGAGCCGGGAAATCCTCGGAGCTAATCCCACGGGAGGGGAGGCCTCGGGCACTCTGGCCGTGCTGGGTGTGGGGTGCAGGGCTGTGCCGTGAGCCTGTGGGGTGCCTGGGGAGGGACAGCGGAGCCCCGCACCCCAAGGACCCCCCGGTGCCAGCCCCGGTGGGTGTGCGGGGCCATTCCTCAGCTGGGGGTCCCTGGGGACTCCCACTGGGTGCTGGGGCTGCTCCCAGCTTGCGGGGCACCCCCTGGCACTGGGGCAATGGGGGACACCCCGTCACCCCGTGGGAAATGCCCTTGCCCTGAGTCACCGGGCGGTTGCGCGGTGTCGTGGCTATGCCACAGACAGCACCTCCAGCAGGGAGGAACCCCGGCAGCTCCGGAAGGATCTGTGGGGCCAGGCTGGCACTGGGGCCAGGGGACCCGGGGGGGATGCCGGCCCTGCAGTGGGGGGGTCCTGGCTGCCCCATCCCCACTCCCAGTGCTGCAGCCGTGCCCGGGCTGTCCCCGGTGTGCAGGTGCCACCGGCCCCACGCAGAGCCTCGTTCCCCTCCCGGCACGTTCCCAGGGCCGTGGCAATTAGCCGTGACTCAGCCACGCATCTCGGTTCGGAAAACAACCCCGGCACCCGGCGCTGCGGCACACGGCACCCGGCGCCGAGCTGGCCCTGCACAGGGATGCTCACCCACACCCGGCGGCCCAGCCGCCCCGGGGGTCCCCAGGATAGAAGTGGGCTTGGGGGGGATAAGATAAACCCCGTGGGGTCCCACTGTGGGGCTGGGACCCTGGCCCAGCAGGTTGGTGTGAGGGTGCTGTGAGCAGGGTCCCCAAACGGGGAGCAGCCAGCCCCCCCCCCCCCCCCCAGCAGCAGGACAGGGGCGCTGGCTGGGGAAGGTCCGTGGGCAGCGGGGCTGGGGGCGGGGGGGCCACCAAAGCCACCGGGACGGCGGGGTGCTGCGTGTGCCCACTGGGCCCTGCGCCGGACCCCCAACAGCCCCATGGCTGAGCCATCCTGGAGACCCCCCCCAAAAGCTGGAGGTGTGCCCCGGGGGGGGGGGAGCTCCCCACACACCCCAACAGCGCCTGAGCCACCCAGTCTGCAGCGTGGCTCCCCCCCCCCCCCCCGCCAGCTGCACCCCTTATGCCGTCCCCCTCCAGCCCCCCCCAGCCCCTCACTGCCACGTCCCACGCTGAGGGGCTGGCCCCGGCCCCCTCCCCTGCAGCGGGGGTCCCGTGGCTCCCCGGGGACGCGGAGGCAACCGGGGGCTCGGCTCGGCTCGCGCCATGAGGGCCGGTGGCCGCGTGCCCCGGTGCCCGGGTTGCTGGCGGTGCCGTGCGGCCACGACACGTGACGGTGCGCTCCGCTTGCCGGCGAACGCCTGCGTGCAGAAGGATTTATTTTTACCCCGGGCTGGCCGGGTTGTTTACCTTGTTGTACCTTTTCCAGGAAAAGGGGGGGTGGGGGTGTGTGTGTGTCTCTGCTGGGGAGGGGGGTTTGCTCCTGCCTGTCACCCCCTGCCCCAGGCTGGGCATTGGGGATCTGGCAGGGTGCAGACTCCCCCCCCCTTAACCCTCCCCTCCTGTGCTTAGACACCCCTCCAAACACACCGCAGGGCTGCAGCATCCCCGTGGGGTCGGGGACACCGGGACTGGCTGGGTCCCCATGCCACCTTGGGGCGCATCGTGCCTCAGTTTCTCCACTTGTGAGTGCGACGCTGCAGGAGGGAGGGGGGCCCAGAAACACCAGCTCTCACCGCACTTGGGGGGGTCCTGCACCCCCCCGAGACCCCGTTTCTTCCCCACAGGGTCCCACCGCTGGCAGCGGGTGGGAGGGCAGGAGCCCCGGTGCGCTGTGGGGTGCCAGGCAGGGCTGGGCGCTCGGGGTTTTGGGGTGTTTTCCTGCCGTGCAGCAGCAGAGCCGTGGCTGAAAAGCCGAGAGCAGCCCTGGCTCGGCCTCCCCCGGCTCTCGGCCAGGGCCCGCGGCTCGGCGCTGCCAGGACTCGCCTTTCCCCTCCCCGCGGAAAGGGAAAAAAAAAAATCAGGTAAACAAGGCAGGCCAGGCCGGGGTGGGAGCACCCCACAGCAGACAGGGGCACCCCACAGCAGCCCGGCACCGTGGGGTGGGGTGGACCTGGGTTGGGGGGCAGAGACCCTGGGAGGTGCAGGGTCTGGGGATACAAGATGCAAAGGGGCAGGATCTGGGGGTGCAGGGGTGCACAGATCCCTGGAGGTGCAGGATTTAGGGGTGAATGCACCCCGGGAGGGTGCGTGGGCCCAGGGATGCAGGGAGGGTGCAAAGTTCCTGGGAGGGTGGAGGGTCTGGGGGTGCAGAGACCCCAGGAAAGTGCAGGGGTGCGGGGTCTGGGGGTGCAGGGACCCCAGGAAGGTGCAGGAATGCAGAGATTAGGGGGATGCTGGGACATGGGGGTGCTGGAGGGGTGCAGGGGCCCCTGGGGAGGGGGGAACCCCGGTGTGTTTGCTGGGCTGGGTGGGCTGGGAAGCCCCCACACGGGGAGCAGCTGGGGCGGGTGGGGGGGACCCGCTGAGCCCCCGCCTGCAGAGTGGGGCTGCAGCGGCGGGGGCCCCCCTCACCTGCACCCCTCCTGGCCGTGACCCCGTAAATCTCATGCGCTGATATTTGTGTTCCTGTTGCAGCACCACGGAACCCCGAGTCGCCGGCGGGGAGGGGAGGGGGGGGGGGGATGTCCTTCAGCCTCACAGCCCACCCCCCCCCACCCCCCCACACACACCTTGGGGCGTGCAGGCTGGGGAACCCACTCCCCTCTGCGGCCCCGTGTCCGGCCTTCCCGAAAAACCACGGCTCGGTGGGGATGTGGGGCAGCCCCACGGAGGGGACACGGCGGCCGCGGGCTTCGGGGCAGCGGGCCGGTTGGCGTCTGCGCCAGCCCGTGTGAGCGAGGCGCTGCCATCGTCCTCCTCCTCCTCCTCTTTCTTCCTCCTCCTCCTCCTCCTCCTCGGGTGCGGGGAGCCCTCTCCATCGCAGCGCGCCGGTTGCGGCGTCACGTGGCGCTGGCATGTGAGCCCTGCTCCATTTTTAGCCCCAGCAGCCTCCCCGCGCGGCGGCCCTGCTGCAGAGCCATGTGCGGGCGGGCGCCCGGCCGGCACGTGGGCCTGCCGCAGCGGGGACGGGGCACCGGGAACCCCCCCCCCTACCCCACCCCACAAACCACCACCACCACCCCCCCCCAACCCCGGGGCCCCGGGCCGACACGGCCACGCGTGGGCGAGCCGTGGGGGGACGCGTGTAGGAGCGCACGGCCACGCGTGCGTGGCGGCAGGAAGGCACGGCTGGTCCGCAGGGCTCGGCACGGAGGGGCTTCCCCGCATTATGGGGGGGGGGGGGGGCATCGCCAGCGTGGCCTGCGGTGGAGTGGGGACCCCACGATGCGTGGGGGGTGTTGGGTGCAAGGGGACACCCCCCCCCCCCCCTGCTCCCCACACCCCGCCCGCCCCCCCCCAACTGTGACGCGGCTCTGCGGAGGGGCACGTCCCCCACGTGTCCCCTGCGCATCCCCGGCACGTGCCCCGCGTGTCCCCTGTGTGTCCCCGTGTGCTGCGGGGGGGGGCGGGGGGGCAATGTTGTGAGTGGGAGGTGGGGGGGGTGTGTGCTTATGCAGATGTGTGTATGCAGGGGCTGCAGTACGGGGGGGGGGGGCTGCAGCGCCCACAGCCTGCGTGTGTGCCTGCAGCCCCTGATGGGGGGGGGGGGGCTTCATGCATGTGTGTGCGTGTGTGCGTGCATGTACATGTGTGTGCGTGTGCATGTACATGTGTGTGTGTGCTGGGGCTGCAGTCTCTGCGGGGGGGGGGGGGGGGGGGGCTGTGTGAGGGGGTGGTGCACGTCCTTGCACATGTACACCAGGAACCGCGCGCTCTGCAGGGCTGCGTGGGTGTGGGGGGGTGTGCACACGGGGACGGGGGGGGGCTGCAAACCCCGTGGGGTGGTGTGTGAGCCCGCTTCACGCAGGACAAAACCCGTCCCCGCAAAGCGGGACCACCCCCCTCCTCGCGTGGGGAGGGGGATCGTGGAGATGGGTCCCAGATACCCCCCCCCCGCCCCCTCCCTCGTCCGCTTTCCCCTGGGCGGGGGGTCCCCGCGGGTCCCCTCAGCCGTGGGGCCGTGCCGAGACAGACCCACGGTGGGCTGCGGGCCGGGGAGGGGGGGCGAGGGGGGCGCGGGACCCCGTCACGCTCCGGGCGGAGCCGCCGCGCTCGGGAGCCACCGGGCGGCCGCGCCCCGTTACTGCCGGCCCGGGACCCCCGCCCGGGCACCGCCCCACGCGGGACCAGCGTGGAAACCACCCCACGTCGCGGTGGGGGGGTGGGTGGTGGTGGGGGCGGGGCTGTCCCCGGGGGTGCCCCCGGTCCGTCCCGCGCGCGCACCCCCCCCCCCAAACCCCGCGCATGCGCACCGACCCCGGTTTAAAGGTAACCGGGGGTCCGCCGTTTCGTCCCGGCCTCGGCCCGCCCCCGGTACCGACCCACGGGACACCCCCCCCCCCCCCCCAATTCCCCGCGTGGGCCGCGGCCTGCCCCGAAGTGGGGAGGGGGGGGGGGCGGCGGCGGCGGGGCAGCCCGTGCCCCCGCGGCCCCCGGGGCGTGGGGGGGGGGGGTGGGTGGGATGCGCTGCGCTGATGGCGGCGGGGCCCCGCCGCCCCCCGGACCGCAGAACCGGCGGCGGGGCGGGTAGCGGGGCGGCGCGGAACGGCGGGGCCCGGCCATGAGGTCCACAGCCTTCCGGGCGGCCGAGCCGCCGCGGGGGGGGCAGCAGCAAGAGGAGGAGGAGGAGGAGGAAGAGGAGGAGGAGGAGGAGGAGGAGGAGGGCGCCGCTGCACCGCACCGCCCGCCGCCCCGCCGGCCCCGGGAGCCGCCGCCGCTGGGGGCACACAAGGGCCGCGGCGGCGGGGTGGCGGCGGCGGCGGAGCAGCAGCGCTGGGCCGGGCTGGTGCCGGTGGCCGGCGGCAAGCAGGCCGGCGCGGGGGATGCGGGCGCCCGGCCGCGCTACCAGGCGGTGCTGCCCGGGCGCGGCGCCGGGGAAGGGGCGGCGGGAGCGGGAGCGGGAGCGGGGCCCGCCGAACCGGGCCCTCCGCCGGCGCCGGCGGCCGCCGAGGGCAAGTGGAAGAGCGGTTCGCGGCGCGGCGGGATGGGGGCCGGCGGGGGCTCGCCGGGGCAGGCGGCCTGCCTGCGGCAGATCCTGCTGCTCCAGCTGGACCTCATCGAGCAGCAGCAGCAGCAGCTGCAGGCCAAGGAGCGGCAGATCGAGGAGCTCAAGGCCGAGCGGGACACGGTACGCCGGGGGGGGGGGGGGGGGGGGGGGCGGGAACGCGGCACGGTAAGGGTTAACTCCCCCCCGCCGCGGGAATACCCCCTCCAGGGTTAATACTTCCGCCCACCAACAGGTAAGTGCCCTCCCCCCCCCCCTCCGTGGCACCCAAAGGGTTAACACCTCTTTTCGGGGGGGGGGGCGGTGTGTGTTAACGCGCCTCCCCCCTCGGCACCCAAAGGGTTAACACCACCTTTTTGGGGGGGGGTGTGTTAACGCCCCCCCCCCCTCCCGTGGCACCCAGGGGGTTAATGCGCCTTTTTAGAGGCTTAACACACACACACACACACACACACACACCCCCCGTGGCACTTCGGGGGTTAATCTCCCTCTTTGGGGAGTTAATACACCCCCCCCCCCAGCACGCAGGGGGTTAAGGGGGTTAATCCCCCCCCCCCACCACCACTTTGGGGTGTAATACGCCCCGCGGGGGGGGGGCATCAACCCCCCTCCCCAAGATACCCAGTGGGTTAGTGCCCTCCCTCAAGGGATTAACGCCCCCCCTGAGGGACCACCCCCCCCCCCAAAGGATTATTGCCCCCCCCCCCCGGGGGGGGTTGATGCCCCCCAGGTATTGATGCCCCTCCCGGGGGTCGGTGTGTCCCCCCCCCCCCCAGACAAAGGCCGGCGGGGGGCGGGGTGACCGGCGGGGGCACAAAGGGCCGGGGCGGGGCGGGCCGGCGGGGGTTAACGGGCCGCCGCCCGTCGCCATGGCAGCGGGCCCGCGGGGGGGGGGGGGGCCGAGGGAGGGGGCGCCTTAAAGGGCCCGCGGCGCCTTCCCGCCGCGCGGGGGTTAACTTAAAGGGGCCGCGTCACCGCGGTCACGGGGGCAGGAGGGAGGGGTGCGGCAGGTTACTCCCTCGTGGGCCCGCGGGCAATCGCCCCTCTTGGGCACGACTTCCCCCCCCCCCCCCCCCAACCTGGGCGTGGGGGGCCCCACTAGACCCCCACCAGACTGCCTGCCTTGCCCCACGCACACAGGGGAAAGGTGGGGGGGGGTGGGGTGTGCGCGCTGTGTGTCCCCCGCCGTGGATATCACGCGTGGCCCCCCCCACGGGTGCGGCTGTGCGGCACCGCGCGCCCACGGCGTGTGCTGGAAGGCCGCGGGTGGCCCCGGTGGCGGAGGGAAGGGGGCCACCCCCCACCCCGCGTGGTGCACCCAGCGGGGCCGCGGCCCCCCAACAGGGAGGAGCCGGCACCACGGGGCTTCACCGCGGAGCATCCTCCCGCGGAGGGGGGGTCAAACCGCTGGGGAAGACCGGGACGGGGAGTGGGGGCTGCTCCCCGCTCCTCTCCCCGAGGTATATTCCCCACCCCCCCGCAGCCACGTCGTGCTGGGGACCCCCCCCCCCCCCCTCCGGTGCTTTGCCAAACGGACCCCCCATAACAGCCGACGGGGGGAGGAGCCGGGTGACGGGGGGGGGCAGGTGTCACCCAGCTCACTTTCTAACGAAGCCCATGTCTAATTACAAACCGCTCTCTGGGTGCTGGGAGGGGGGGGGGGGGGAGCACCCCCAAACCGCTCCTCCAAAACACGCGCAGGTTTGCAGCCGGCCGCAGCCCTGACGCCGCGGGGATGGGCAGCGCCGGGCGGGGGGAGAGGCAGCTGGAGAGCCAGTGGCCATTTTGTGCCATTTTGGACATTTTGGCCCCTGCCTGCCGGCACTCTGGTTAAACTGGTTTGGGGGTGCGATGCCCGCAGCACCCAGCACTGGTGGCAGATGGTGCCCTCGACCTCCTGTGTGTGTCCGTGTCCCCCCCCCCCGCCGTCCCCGTCCCCCCCCCACACACATTGGGACCGTGGGTGCGAGCTGGGGCGCTCCCGCCGAGCCCGATGGCTCGGGCACAGTCGAGGGGCTCCTCGCAAACGTGCCCCAGCACCCCGAGCGTTGCCAGGGCGTTGTGAGGCAAATGCCAGGACGGGCCCGGTTTGCTCCAGGCAGAACGCGCCGCAGCGGGGTGGCACCACCCCCCCGTGTCCGTACGTGTGTGTGTGTCCCCCCCTTCCCCATTGCAGACCGTTTCTGCAGGTGGGTGATGGCTCCGGTGTGGGTGCTGCGGGTTGGCTCTTCCCGGGGTGTTTCCCTGTTGCCGAGGGGATGTGCAGGCAGGGCACGGTGCAGGGGTGCGCGTGGGGTTCATATCCCCCCCCACCACCACCCCGGGAGCGTGCCCCCGCGGTGAGCCCTCGCCCTGCGTTGCAGCTCCTTGCGCGGATCGAGCGCATGGAAAGGCGGGTGCAGCTGGTGAAGAAGGACAGCGAGCGGGAGAAGCACCGCATCTTCCAGGGCTTCGAGGTGGACGAGAAGCCGGAGGCGGAGGCGTGCGAGAAGCTGCCACTGGAGTGTCCCCAGGACCTGCTGGAGCCCCCCCCGACCCTGCAGCCCAAGCACTTCCCCTACGGCAGGAACGGGAAGGGGCATAAAAGGTAGAGGGTGCCCGGCCGTGCCGGGAAAGGGGTGCGTGGGGTCTGAGGGGGGGGGAACCTTCCCTAAGGCTTTGCCCTCCATCCGTGGGGATGGCACTACCTGGGGCACGGAGGTGCTGGCTCAACCCAGCGACCCTTGAGCCGCTCGGAGAGACTGTCCGGCGCCGGGAGCGCATCCCGTCGCGCACTGGCTGGGGAGAACCTTGTGAAAACTTAGGCAAAGAAGAAGGGGGGGTTCCCCAAAATGCTGGGGAAGCCCCTCTAGCTTCCACAAATCTGCCTCCGGCCAGCCCCGGTGTGGGGATGCCGGTAGCCCCCCACGGCAGCCCCGGCGCAGGGGGAGGATCCGTGCACCCAGCTCCACTCCTCTTCCTCCCGCAGGAAGCCGACGTTTGGGAGCGCGGAGAGGAAGACGCCCGTTAAAAAACTGGTGTCCGAGTTCTCGAAAGTGAAGAGTAAAACTCCGAAGCACTCCCCGGGGAAGGAGGAATCGGGTGGCTCCTTGTCCGAAACTGTTTGTAAACGAGAACTGCGGAGCCAAGAGACTCCCGAAAAACCCAGGTCGCTTCTGGAGACCCCCCTCCGAGCCTCAGCCCTGCCGAAGGGCCCCAGCGCCCACCCCAAGGAGAAGGGCTTCTTCAGCAGCGAGACAGACGACCTGCCCTATCTCTCAACCACGGAAATGTACTTGTGCCGCTGGCACCAGCCGCCCCCGTCGCCGCTGCCGTTGCGGGAGCCCTCCCCAAAGAAGGAGGAGACTGTAGCAAGTAAGCGATGGAGAACACGCCGCGGCGCAGGCAGCAGCGTGCCGGCTGTTGGGGCAGAGCCGGCGGCTGGAGAGGGGCTCGCCCGCCTCGGGGCGGCTGCGGGAACGGGGCTCGGCACCCTCACCCCACGGCCGGTGAAGGGCCGAGTCCCGATCGCGGCAGTGGGAAGGGTGCAGCCGGCCGCGCCGCGCCGCTGGCTCCTCCCGCAGCCGTGGGTAGCAGCTCTGGTGCCGGCCATGGGCTCTCCCCAAACCACGTCTCCGGTTTACCCTGCTCCGGCTGAGCCGGGGGCACGGCTGGTGGCCCCGTTCCGCTCTAGCCGCCCGGTTTGCCGAGCAGCCTGCGCGCCCGTTTGAGCGAGGGGTGAAGCAACTTCCCGTTCGCAGTTGGGAAACGCGTCTGTGGCTTGTGCCGCCGTGGCACGGCACGGGTTCCTCCACGGGGTCACCTCCTGCCCCTGAATCCGGTGCCTGGCCTGCCGGCCGCCCCTTCCCAGCCGGTCTCCTCGGGTCCCGCAGCGTGGTGAGCACCGGTGACGGGGACTCGGGGCTGTGCCGGTTGCCGATGCTGCCGGCGGAGGCTGCGCTGGATGGCTGGGCGCTCTGGCGCGGGGGGAACTCGGCGTGTCTCCCCTCGGAGCGGCTCAGGTTTGCTTGCACGCTTGGCCCTGGGGGATGGTGACGAGCTCTGCCTCCCCCCGGGCCCCCCCTGGAAGCTCTCGACACCCTCAGCTGGTGGCACCTCCCAGCCTGGCTCAGAACTGGGGTTCGGGGGGGGGGGGCCCAGCCGCGCTCTCCAGGGGAAGGACGCGCTGGAAAGCAGCAGCGAGGCGGCGGGGATGGGGCTGGTGCGTGGGGGTCCCAGCATGGGGCTAACAGCCCGGCCTCTCGCCCCCACAGTTCCATCTTGGAGGGACCATGTCGTGGAGCCCCTGAGAGACCCCAACCCCTCGGACCTCCTGGAGGTACGTAACCGCCCCGGCGGGCGCAGTGGCCGCTGGCGGAGCCGTCGTTGCCGCAGGCGCTTTCGCCGGCTGTTGTCCCCGCTCCAGGAGAGCGGTTCACCGCATGCGGGGCCGGTGGCATCTCGTCCCCTCATCTGGCATAAAGAGCACGGCAAATCCCGGCTGCGGCGGGCGAGCTGGGGTGGGGGTGAAGGGCCAACCCCTCGGCGCCGCGGCGGCTCTGGTTGTGCCGGCGCCGGGTGGACGCGCTCATTCCCCCGCCTGTCGTTGCAGAACCTGGATGACAGCGTCTTTTCCAAACGGCACGCGAAGCTGGAGCTGGATGAGAAACGAAGGAAAAGGTTGGGAGCAAAGCGGGCGATAGGGTCTGGGGGTCCCCAACACCGCGGGTGAGCTGCACCCCCTCCCGCAGGGAAGGGTCCCGGGGGGCAGGGACACACACACACACACACGCACGGGATCCGGTCACCCAGGACGCAGCTGGGATGGGAACCAGCAACGCTGCTGGAGAAGGGACGTTCCCACATCGCTGCCAGCGCGGCGGAACCCAGCGCAGCCCCCGCAGCTCCCCGGGAGGGTCAAGGCTCCTGCTCGCGGGTTCTCACTGCTGGCGGGGCCGGCGGGGTGGGGGGGGGGCCCGTGTTTTCCAGGTGGGACATCCAGCGGATCAGGGAACAGAGAATTCTACAGCGGCTGCAGCTCCGAATGTACAAAAGGAAAGGGATTCAGGAGTCGGAGCCTGAAGTTACCTCATTTTTCCCTGAGCCAGATGACGGTGGGTGCCTTTGGCCTTGGGGGGCGGGGGGGGTTTTGGGGGGCAGGCAGGGGTGTGTAACACTCCGGTGTCCTTCCCACAGTGGAAAGCTTGCTCATCACCCCTTACCTGCCCGTCGTCGCCTTTGGCCGGCCCTTACCAAAACTGACCCCGCAGTGAGTACTGGTGTCACTGGTGGCAGTGGGGGGGACACCCCCACACCCCCACGCGTGGGGCCGGGCTGGGCACTGCCGGCTCATGGCAGCATCCTCGGTGCTGACGCCGGCTCTGCCCGCAGGAACTTCGAGCTGCCCTGGCTGGATGAGCGCAGCCGCTGCCGGCTGGAGATGCAGAAGAAGCAGACGCCGCACCGGACCTGCCGGAAATAGCGGAGCCGCCGGGAGCTCCGACCGCTGCCGCGTCGCGCCGACGGCCGCTGCCCCTCTCCTGCCTTCTCGTTGACGGACGGTTCCGTTCCTCCGGGACCCCGGTTTTGTTCTCTTGGGTTTCGAAACACGTTCCCCGGACTTGTCCCCCCCGCCCCGTCCCACCGTACCCGCCGCGGTGCCGGGCGGCTGCCAGCTGAGGTTTCCCACCGGTTGCTCCCGGGGGGGCAGCGGGTGGACCCCAGACCCTGCCTGCCCCCCCCCCCCCCCCCAGTCGATCTTCGCTGCCTTTTGGACGTTTGGCTCCGAGCCGCAGGCGGGAGCAGGGAGAGCACCGGGGCCAGGGGGGTGCCGCGTCCCCCCAGGGCTCTGTGTTTAGTTAGAAAAGAGGATAAACACCAGTTTGTGTCTGAGCGGGGGCTGCTGGGGGTCCTGGTGCTGCCGCAGCGAGGAGCAGGGCACCAGTAAGCGCCAGGAACCCTCTTTGGGGTTTGTTGTTGTTTTTTTTTTTTTTTTTTTTTTTTTTTCCCCCTCCCCTCTTGAGTGGCTGTAATGGGGTCAGAGGGGAGAGTTTAAAAACAAATGTTTTTTTTTTTTTTTTTTTTTGTGAAATAGAAACCCTATACGCACAATTTTGGTTTTTTTTTTTTTTTTTAAAGTTGTGTTTTATAATTTAAATGTTTCGAGGTTGGCGATGTGTGCTGTAAGGAGTTGGGTTGGTGTGAGAGCTGGGACTGTGGCCACTTCCCCACAGCGTCCCTGGACCCCCTCGACACCCCCTTGGCCCCTCGGGGACAGGACCCCCGCGGGTGGGTGGGGAGGGGGCCGTAGGGGGGGAGTGGGCGCCCCTTGTCCCCCGCTCTGGCCAGGCTCTCCCAGCCTGCCCTTCAGCAGAGATTAAACAGGAGAAATGTGCCAGCAGAGCCGCTTCTTTTATTTTATTTTCCCCCTTCCCCTTCCTGGGGTCTGCATCCCCCCTCCCCGGTTTTATTGTCTCTGTGGGGGGCTGCACTCCCCCGCCCCCCCCCCCCCCCCCCCCCCCCCCCTCCCCAGTTGCTTTCTGGCACCGAGGTTAATTAGCGGAAGGAAACTTGTTTAAAAAACGTTTAAAAAATATATTAAAAAAATGCAAAACAAACAAAAAAAAAAAAACCAACGGAAATCTGTTTAAAAAAATAGTTATAAACACGTTAGCAGTGGGTGGTGCCTGGCCTGCCCGCAGGGGGGTCACGCGTGGACACACCCGCTGCTGCTTTTTTTTTTTTTTTTTTTTTTTCTCCCCCCCCCCCCCCCCCCCCCCTAATAAACGAGGAAAACAGACGCTGCCTGCTGGTGTCCGCTTCCGCCCCGCGCGCATGACGTCATTTCCGCCGCCGTGACGCCACCCGCGCCGTGGTGACGTCGGCGCCCTGCCCGGCGCGCGCCTGCCCCCTGCTGGGCGAGCGGGAGGCGTTGGGGGGGTGGGGGTGGGGAGCGGGAGAGCGCCCTGCCGCTGCCGCTAGGGCTGCCGGGACGGCGGCGGCGCGGGGGCCGCCGGGAGCTGTAGTCCGTCCCGTGGTGCCCCGCGCCGCCGCCCGCCCCCGCGGCTGCCCAAGATGGCGGACCGGCGGCGGCAGCGCGCCTCGCAGGACAGCGAGGACGACTCGGACTCGGCCGCTTCCGACAGCGCCGACTCCGCCGCCAGCGCCGCCCGCTCCCGCTCGGGCTCCGGTTCCGGCTCCGGCTCGCCCCGCCCGCCGCACCGCCCGCCGCGGGGCGCCGCCGGGGCCCTCAGCGCTGGGCCGCGGAGCCGCGGGGCCGAGAGCGCTGCCGGGGGGGCGGCCAAGAGCGCGCCCGAGTCGGAGTGTGTGAGTGGGGGTGTGGGGGGGCGAGGGGGGGGCTGGAGAGCTGAGGGAACAGAGGGTTTGGGGGGGGGGGGACAGCGGGGCCCCCCCGGGGCGGGTCTCTGCGGCCCCCCCAGCGCCTTCCCCCCGCACCCCGGGGCTGGGTCCCGGCCCCCCCCCCCCGCAGCGGGGGGCGGGCGGGTGGGTTTGCTGCCTGGCCCGGCCTCTTCCCCCCCTTTATCAACCCTGACCGGCCTTTTTTAAAGCGAGGGCATTAAAAAAAAATCCCTCGCGGGGGGGTTGCGGTGCTGCTCTCCCCCCTCCTCGGCAGGGCGGTTCTCTGGCAGTTTACAGCTGGGTGCGATTTTGTCCTGTTGCGGGTTTGTAGGGCCGGTTATTTCCAGTTCCTCCTGACTCGCAGCGCGTTTCTGGTCGGTTGTTTTGGCATTTGGACTTACCTCATTAATGCATTGGCGGGTTTTATTTTTGATTGGAGGTTGTTTTTACCGCACAGTTCGATCAGTCTGTTGTTCTACTAGAAACTTTCCCTGATTTGAGCTGTTCCACTTCATCCAGCGTCTTCTCCCGGACATGGGGTTGTGTTTCTATCACCGGAGCCTCTAGCAGATGTCTGCCTGAGCTTGGTCCTGCTCAGCATCTGCTCGTTATTCCTGGGCTCCCACTTTAAGTAATCCTCTTGTCCTTTCTCGAGTTAGCTGTCTGGCCCTCGGTTAGCGAGGGAGGGGAGCCTGGCTTCTCTTCCGATGTCGCTCTTTTCCTTCCAAAGCCCCCCAGCAGTTAGCACAGTTTGTGTTTTTTTTTTTTTTTTTCTTGAGCTGCCTTTCCCCAGCAGAGCTCGCTCTAGAAGGATCTTTGAGAAAGGTACTGGGAGCCCTGAATTTGTCTCTTCTTTCTCAGTCGCTGAAGCTGAACTTCCAAGGGCAGGTGCGATAGGACCAGGGCCAAACCTTGTCGTAATCGTGTCTGGGATCGTAGGATGCCGCAGGGACTTGGCTGCTGACCTTCCCCTCTGCTAACACACTTTTCTCTCTCTCTCTTTCCGCAGGAAAGCGAGGATGGCATCGAAGGAGACGGTGAGTAGTGACTCTCTGGCGTTACAACTGCCATTTGCCTGCAAAAACTAAAAACCAGACAAAATGCCTTTTCTGATAGTTTCGTGGTGGTTGTCATCCTGAATGTTAACTCATAATAGTCGCAAACGTGAGATGCAGGGGCAGCGCGCCCCAAACTCGCCCTTGCTTCCTCCCGTGTGAGCTGGCAGTGGTGTTATTTGTGGATGCTTTGGTGCTGGGCACTGGCTTCCCCTTGGAGAGGCTGTTCACTGCGCCTGTGCCAGCGGTCGCCCACGGCGCGGCGCGTTACGCTCGGGGAGAAGCTGCGTTTCAGCTTCTGCCCTGACACCAAACTCCTTTTTCTCCCCTGCAGCTGTACTCTCAGATTACGAAAGCGCAGAAGACTCAGAGGTAAGAGGAGTCTCTGTCCTGGTGTTTAAAGGGTTCTGCTGAGTGTCTGCATCTCGCATAATTTTAGCACAAAACCCAGTTTATGTCCTTCGTTCTCTTCCACTGGCCCTGGCGGCAGCGATTGCCTTTGTCTCAAGAGAGCAGCTCGTGTGCGTCGCGCCAGCCGCGCAGAGGCTCGGAGCGAGCCGCGCTGCGGCGTAGTCATCGCTGCTGCAGAGGAAGGTGGTCTCTCACGGTCTGGGCCCCCTCGCAGGGCAGTTCCCTCACGCCCAGCCCTGGGGAGAAGCTGCTCTGTGCTGCTGGGGGGGGGGTGGGGGGGAGGGAAAAACGCCTGGCTCCTCAGACTGGGATACTGGGAGCAGGATTTGCCACGGCTGAGAAGGGTGTGGAAGGAAGTGTAGCATGCTGGTTGTGTTTTAATTAGTTGAAATTAAAAAACTTAAGTGCTGGGTTGGAAGCATCCCAGGGAGCATCCCCATCTCTGCATACAGCAGCTGGAGGGGTAATGCACCCTGCGAGTGCTGGCAGCTCTTCTCTGGGTGGGTGCTGAGCAAATCCCCCCTCACACGCACTGAGACCCCCTGCCTGTGCCTGGGCAGCAGCCTGTGGCTGTAGGTTTCCCTGGATTTTTAGTTCAGAACTTCTAAGTTTAACATTTCCAGGAAGTTTAGAGAAGTTCTGGTTTCTAATGATTACGGTGAAGGTTTTCTAGTAAAAACCCTTCCCTTGAGAGAGCTGTTTTGGGGATTTTGACAGGGGCCACAGTCAGAGAAAACGCAAAACAAGGCAGACGAAATGGAAGCTCACAGGGGCTGCTAATTTGTGAATGGATCTCTGCCGTCAGCGAGGAAGGAGCGTGGTGGGCTGGGCTGTGGAGGTGGCACGTAGAGGGTGAGGGGCAGCTCCCCATGTTCTCCGTGCAGCAGCTCTTCAAGCCTAGAAACCTGCGCGGAGTCTCCCCGGAGGCTCGGCGCGCGTAGCAGAGCAGCGCTGGTGCACGCCGGGCGGTCGGAGCAGCGGGGGTATTGCATCACTGACATGCCAGGATGACTCTGTTCCTGTGCCTAAAAATAATGCCACGTCTGGGTTTCCCCAACGTAAACAAAAGGAGCAGTTGATGTGCAAATACGCTGTGTTGAAAGAGAAAAATAGAGCAGTCTTTTTGTTAATCACGCAGAGCTATTTTTAGTGTCAGTTCCAGCCTAAGCAAGGCTTGCAGGCTCCTGGAGGGTGAAATGAGGTCACGCTCCTGCGAGCAGAGTGCTCCGAGTGAGTCAGCTGAGTAACTCCAGGGAATTTGGAAACGCGGCGCTGGCTGGATCCGGGCCCTTAGTGTGGGAAGGAAGGGACAGTCTGAGGGCCCTTGTTTGCTGGTCTCTGCGGCTTGCACAAGCCCTTCCCTTCCAGGGCGGTGCGAGGCTGTGGTTCTGTGGGGGAGCTGGTCCTGGCTCTGTCCTAGAAAGCCTGACTGTTGGATCTGCTCTCGCTGGTGGGGGGAGGTGTTGGGTTTAGATTTTGCTTTTTCCATAAAAATGCGGGGATAGGCAGGACTTTGAGAGCTAATCCTCTGCTTTGAAAGAGTTGGGTCTCTAATGACTGGAACAGGGATCTAACTCCAGATTGGGGGACTTGCGTGAGGAAATTCCTGGGGGACCTGCTGCTAAAGGTGCGTGTTTGAGCAACTGGGGCTCTTTCAGGCAGAGGAAGAGGATTACAGCGAGGAAGAAAGTGCCAAAGTGGAACTGAAGCAGGATAGTAATGATTCCTGTGAGTCAGCGGCAAAAGCAGAGAAAGGGGATGAGAAACCTGACTCCAAAGGCGCTGTAACTGGTGAGAGGCAAAGCGGGGACGGGCAGGTAGGTGTTAAACATGCGTTCTCTGGGCTGTGGGGGGCTTCTCGCAGAGGGACTGCTGCAGTGGTAAGAGCTGTCTGATTTTGACAGGAGAGCACTGAACCTGTTGAGAATAAGGTTGGGAAAAAAGTCCCCAAGCACCTGGACGACGACGAGGATCGGAAGAACCCGGCTTACATCCCACGCAAAGGGCTCTTCTTTGAGCACGACCTCCGAGGGCAGACGCAGGAGGAGGAGGTCAGGTACGTGAGCGTCCCCCCCGGTGTCTGCCTCTCTCTGGGAGGCTGAGCCCAACTCCCTGCCCAGCGTTTGGCAGCACAGCTCCTTGCTTTGGCGTGAAGCGCCGGCAAGGTCCGTACTTCGGTTGCCTGCGTGCAGTGTCCTGCCAGGATGCTTTAGCTCTTGGTTTTGAAGGAGAGACTGAGGGTGTGCAAACAAAACCAAACCTGCAAGGAAAGCTTCTTGTCGATGAGCGGTGACCCTTCTTGCTGCTCTTCAGAAATAGCAGTGGGTAGACCAGCAGCTGGTGGGCAGGAGGAGTGGGAGGAAGAAGAGACGCTGTGTCCTCTGCAGACCCTGCCCTAGAGCTGCTTGGTCTCTGTGTGTGGGGCTGGTTGAAGCTGCCACATCTCCTTGGCTTTGCAACAACTTCTTGGTCCTCCCTGTGCAACTGTTCCAGGCCGAAGGGTCGTCAGCGGAAGCTGTGGAAGGATGAGGGCCGTTGGGAGCACGACAAATTCCGGGAGGACGAGCAGGCCCCCAAGACCAGGCAGGAGCTGATTGCGCTTTATGGCTATGACATCAGGTCAGCTCACAACCCCGATGACATCAAGCCGAGGAGGATGCGCAAACCCAGGTGAGCAACGAAGTCAAACTGGAGCCTGGCTTGTTCCTGATGGAGATTCTTGTGCCAGGCGCTTCAAACGACAGGTCTGAAGCCCCAAAGGGGGAAAGTCCCGTGGTTGGCTTTGGCACTGGGGTGGGACGCTGGTCCTTGGAGTTCTGGATGCTGCATCCAGGAGAAGGGTTCCTTGGCACAGCATCACCCAAGGATGTCTTTCCAGTCCTTTGGACTATTTTTCTTCCTCAGGTTTGGGAGTCCTCCTCAGCGAGACCCAAACTGGTCCAACGAGAGGCCAAATAAACCCCCAAGGCACCAAGGTGCGGACAGCACTTCGGCTTCCCCGCGAACCTTCACCAGCAGGAGCTCCGCGGGCACAGGGAGGATGCCCCCACCTAGGAACTACCCGAGGATGGGGGGCTACAAAGAGACCCGTCCAAGCTACCGAGCTGCAGATGCAAGTGTCCAGCATCTGTCTCGAAACGGCGAGCAAGCTAAACAGGAGACCAGCTATCGAGCAAAGCGTGCAGAGCAAACCCCACCGCGAGACAAATCCCCCGAGATGGAAGCGGCACATGTCCACAGCAGCCCGGTGAAGGAGGAGGTTGCTTTGGAAAACCAAGCCACGGCTGCTGATGCTGCACAGCCACCGCCGGACAGACCAATTGAAAAGAAGTCTTATTCCCGGGCCAGAAGGACCAGAATCAAAGCTGGGGATGCGGGGAAGCTGGCAGACGAAGTGCCCGCTTCGGAAGGGCTGACTCCTGTGCCTCCAAAACCTGTGCAAGCCGAGACATCCCCCCCACCAGCCAAGAGCAGTAACTGGGAGTCGCCAGTAGAATCCGGCTTGGATGGACTCGAGCAAGAGATGACTCAAATGAATCTCACTGAGCAGAACTGGACCCCGGGGCAGTCCCAGTTCGTACAGCCCCGGGAGCTGAGGGGTAAGTGGGTGCAGCCTGTTGGTTTTCCACTGCAGCCCCAGCCAAATGAAATTCTGCGTTCGTGTAGTCAGAGCTGAACTGTCTCTGCCTTAGTCCTGTCTCAGGGTAGGTACGTGGTGGCGATGCGTGCTGCTGAGAAGGTGCAGTGGAGGTGGTTAGAGCGGACGAAACAGAAGAGAAAAAGGGGATATTAAACGTTCTGGTGTAGGTTAATTGAATTAGGGCTGGGAAGGACATAAGAGTAGATACTTTCCCTCTCTGCCCTGTTTTGGGTTGAGAACGGGGAAGCTTCAGTGAAGCTGAAGGCCTGTGTGAGGGGCAGGCAACAGGGACTTTATGCGGTGTGAATCACGGTGAGACCAGCTGCTGCATCAGGAGTCAGAGTTCCCGAGATAAAGAGCTTTGTGCTGGGTTGGCAGGTGAGGGTAATGGGTAATCGGGCTGCTGTAATGTCCTGCTAAGAGCAGGAGGGAACTTTTCTTCTGTTTGCCAGCTTGTTTCCTAGCACTGAGATTTGGTTGCCGCCAGCTAAGTCCTGACTGGGATTGGCAAATTCATTTGTGCCTGGCAGGAGGAAGCTGCTCTCTTGGCAGCAGCAGGGAGGCCGCTGAGGGAGGGCTATGGGGCAGAGTCACCCCCGTGCCAGCAAAGGGCTGAGTTCTAGTTGGGCATCCATGCGAGAGGTCATTCAGGTATAATTATCTCTTTGCAGAAATAGAGTCTTTTCTGGGGAGTGCTAGAGTTCTTCCTGAGGGAAATGAAACTGGAGCAAGGAGAAGAAAGCAACTTTCTGCTTTCATAAGCATCTCTTGAGGTTTAGGTCATGTAACCGTAAGTCATATCGTACTGATATGACTGGTAAAATATTTGTGTGAGCAGACCCTTGGTCTCGACTGTGGGTGTGAGTAGACAGGATTTAAATATGCCAGTAGAATGAGGGTTCAGAAATGCTGTGATTTGCAGTTGAGATTATGTACTACAGTTTTTATGCTTAAAAATAAAACATCCTAACAAATTTACCATGAGGCAGCTCTAGACTGCGGGTAGCAGACCACATTCTGTCTGTAAGAAGGATGTATTACTCTCCTGCCCCTTTGTTTCTCCCTAGCAGGGAAGGCAGGTGCTAATTCTGGGAGGCATTTGGCTAGGTGAGCCAGCCATCGGGTCGTTCTGTACCTACAGCATGTATGCCTCTGCATGTACTTGCAGTATCGGTGATCTGTGGGCACTTCCAGGTTTGGTTTTGTCCACTTCTGCTCCTCTGGAATTGCCTGTGATCAATTTGGCATTGTTGTTTTAAATGTGCGCCTGTAACTTTGTTGTTTTAATTAAAAGGAGCTCCTGATAAAAGTGGTTACGCCCTGTAGAGGGTTTAAACTGCAGCTTACCCAGCCCCACATGGATCCTTGTTTCTGCTCTGAGTTGGTCCTTGTCTCAGCAGGAATAGAGCTTAGGACAGGACCTGGATTTCAAGCTGAGGATTTTTTTTTTTTTTTTTTTAATTAGCAAGATTTAAAAGGTGTTGAACAGTGTGGATGATTGGCACAACAGCTTATAATTTGTACTGAAATATTTAAAATGGTAAGCTGAGAAATGAAGTTGTTAGAAGGTTTCTCATCATGAAAGCAAGAGCTGTGCCTGTTTGTAGTACAATAATGTCCCCGGGCTGCAGGCGCTCGTACGGCCAGTGACGGGTGCCTCCTCGGCGGGTGAGGTGGCTCTTTACTGGGAACAAATGCAAACCATAATAACCAGTTTGTTTCTTCCTCAGGTATTCCTAACCATATGCACGTGGGAACCGGGCCACCGCCTCAGTTTAACAGGATGGAGGAAATGGTAAAGCATATCGCGGGGAGCGTGACTCTTGCTTTTAGAAGGGCGGAAGCCCAGCATTGATTTGTTTCTGGGCTGTAGTAATTAGAGGCTGCCCGTGATACCTCAGCCTTTCCCTTTTGTGGGTGTTGATTAGTTTTTTTGCCGTGTGACCCAGATAGAGGTTTGCAGGGGCTGGGGGGGGGGGGGGAGCGGGTCGGTGCTCCCTCCTGCTGACCCTCGCCGATCCCTTCGGGCTCTCGCAGGCGGTGCAGGGGGGCCGCGTGAAACGCTACTCGTCACAACGGCAGAGACCGCCGGTGCCGGAGCCTGCTCCCCCCATGCACATCAGCATCATGGAAGGGCACTACTACGACCCACGTGAGTGTTTCGCTCCCGAGGCTCCGTGTGTGCTCAGCCCTGAGCAGCTGGATCAGGAGGCCCCCGGGTCCTGTTAGGGTTGGGAAGGTTGGGGGCTTTGACTTCCCTTTCTTTTGGAAATAGCGTCGCGGTGTTGTCTCGTACAGCAACTAAAAGGCTGCTCTGAGCCTCCCTGGTTGGTGTTTGAACCCAGTGCAATATAATCAGTGTTCCCACCTCCCCTCCCTGGGCAAGGGCTCTCTAGGACACCTCTTTTCTTCATGAGAACTAGGATTTGAAATCAGAGCAATGTCTTTGACATTTGAGAGTGGGGAGAGTTACCGGACAAGACTGAGGATGGATTAGGAATTACTCCAGCGTTTAAAGTGTTGGAGAAGAAATTCCCCAAGTATTCTCCTGCTTTGTGAAGGGAGTAGGAGGCGTTTCTGTGGGGAGTATGTAGCATCCGTGAGCCTGGTAGACTGCGTGTGCCGATGGGAACGTAGCTCACAGCACCACCTTCAAGTCTTGTAACCATAGCTGGCGGGGGGGTGTGCGTGTGACTTGCTGCAGTAGAAGAAAATTCGGTGGAGCTTTGCCTTACCAACCATTATGTGTTGCAGTACAATTCCAGGGACCAATCTACACCCACAGCGAGAACCCGGCCCCGCTGCCGCCCCAAGGGATGATCGTACAGCCAGAAATGCACCTCCCTCATCCAGGTGAGGAACCAGCTCCCCAGCCGGGCACGGGGGCAGCTGGTACCCACGTTGTGGTTGTGCCCGGGGGCGGCTCAGCCTGTGCCGGCGGGGGATAACGCTGGTTTCACACGGCCTCTGTCACTGGGAGAATCCACTTCCCTTGTTTCTACAACACAGAGGAGACCCGCTTCCCTCATGCGGTGAGGCTGGATCAATATAAATTTTAAGGAAAGAAGAACAGGCATTTCTGGCCCTTGCAGCCAGCGCAGGACTGCGGTGATCTGAACATTTTGGCAGCCTCTAGCTGGATGTCTGCAGGTTCTGTGCAGGCCCTCCTGGCTGAGTCGCTTCCCCTTCAGTGGGGCGTTTGGCTCTGCCAGCTGTTGTGCCAGGCCGGTTCTTCAGTCCCTGCTGCTTGCAGAGGAGAAAAGAAAAGCAGAAATGAGAGCTGTTGAACTGTCATGTTCTCTGTCTTCCCTGCAAAAACTGTTTCCTGAAGTGGATGTGTCTGGTTCCGGTGAATCAGGACCCTGGCAGCGGGGAGGGGGCCGTGCTCCGCTGTGCTGCGAAGCGCTTCCCCTTTTCCCTCCCCAGCACACGAGTGCTTTTCCTTCCTGCTGCCGCGGGGAAGGCGCAGCCGTGCTGACCTGCTGGCGTGGGAGCAGCCCCAGCCCTCCACGGGACGCGCTGACTGTACACGCGACGTCACGTTCCGTTTATTTCTGTCGCTTCCCAGGTTTACATCCCCACCAGACGCCAGCCCCCATGGCAAACCCTGGGCTGTACCCTCCGCCAGTCTCCATGCCCCCGGGCCAGCCCCCGCCGCAGCAGCTGCTCGCCCCGACTTACTTCTCCCCTCCTGGAGTCATGAATTTTGGGAATCCTGGCTACCCCTACCCGCCGGGAGCACTGCCCCCTCCGCCCCCTCCTCATCTCTATTCCAACACACAGGTAAGCCAGCTGCGCTGCGCGTCTCCATCCTGAGCAGGAGCCGTGGAGGGCAGATGGGATCCTGTGGAGTTGGGGGTATATTCTCTGGGGATTCCTGGGAGAGAATGTGGAGCAGCTGGGCGGCTCCGCGGTGGGAGATTGTTTACTGTCATCCCCCTCCCTGCTTGGGGCGGGTAACTGCAAAGGACGTGGCTGCCCTGAATTTAGGGTCTAGTGGATGAAACGCCTGTAGGTTGGCTCTGAGAATCGAGGTCTTACCATACAGAACAGGGAAAGTGCCCCCCGGGAGCCTGTGAACCTTTACGTCCCCTCCAGGGTCCGTGCTAACCCAAGGGCACCTCGAAAATTGCTTTGGGAGTCCTTTTGGTGTGAGGTGGAGGCAGGAGGCTGGGAGTGGGCTGGTGCTGCTCTGTGGCGCTGGCCGGGAAGGCCCTTGGTGTGACCAGCACAGGGCTGGCTTCTCAGCACCCGACCTCTGTGTGTGCAGTAGCCACGGTGCAGTGGGGAGGCAGATCTCTCTTTGGGGAGGCAGATCTCTCTTTGGGGAGGCAGATCTCTCTTTGGGGAGGCAGATCTCTCTTTGGGGAGGCAGATCTCTCTTTGGGGAGGCAGATCTCTCTTTGGGGAGGCAGATCTCTCTTTGGGGAGGCAGATCTCTCTTTGGGGAGGCAGATCTCTCTTTGGGGAGGCAGATCTCTCTTTGGGGAGGCAGATCTCTCTTTGGGGAGGCAGATCTCTCTTTGGGGAGGCAGATCTCTCTTTGGGGAGGCAGATCTCTCTTTGGGGAGGCAGATCTCTCTTTGGGGAGGCAGATCTCTCTTTGGGGAGGCAGATCTCTCTTTGGGGAGGCAGATCTCTCTTTGGGGAGGCAGATCTCTCTTTGGGGAGGCAGATCTCTCTTTGGGGAGGCAGATCTCTCTTTGGGGAGGCAGATCTCTCTTTGGGGAGGCAGATCTCTCTTTGGGGAGGCAGATCTCTCTTTGGGGAGGCAGATCTCTCTTTGGGGAGGCAGATCTCTCTTTGGGGAGGCAGATCTCTCTTTGGGGAGGCAGATCTCTCTTTGGGGAGGCAGATCTCTCTTTGGGGAGGCAGATCTCTCTTTGGGGAGGCAGATCTCTCCCTGGGGAGGCAGATCTCTCTTTGGGGGAGGCAGATCTCTCCCTGGGGAGGCAGATCTCTCCCTGGGGAGGCAGATCTCTGTGGGCATTGTGGTGCTGAGCCCGTGGCCGCCGTTGGAGCAGCACACGGCTGACACGCAGTGGCAGGCGAGAGATGTGCACGCTCCCCGAGCCCTGCAACCTCTCTGACCTTCCCGGCTGCCCTGGGCTGATCCCAGCTGCCCTGACAGGGAATCCGCCAGCTTTTGGGGCAGATCCCGAGCCCACCCCCCCCCGGGCAGCTGGAGGGGATCTCGGTGTGGAGGGGAACTGTTACCTGCCTTGTCGGCAGAAAAGTGCTAGCTGCTGCGGTTGCAAAGCCCAGACATTGTATGGCAGTTGGGAAACTCTGCGGGGTGAAGGGAACCCATCTGCTGCCAACTTCATTCCGGCGAGGCTGCGGATTGCCGCAGCCTGGGCCTGCCGAGAGCGGGGAGAGCCTGTGAAGGGGCAGGGGTAGGCGGGGTGGGGGGGGTCCTCCAGGAGTTGTAAGTGCTGCTGTTCTTCGTCGCCTTGGGGAGCACAGCACAAATCAACACCCCCCCCACCCCCCTGTGGCTACTCCCCTTCGGTGCCAGGCGGTGGCATCTTGCCACAGCCCAGGTGTGGGCCGTAAAGGCTGCCCGAGCCACGCGTGCACCCTCGCAGGGGGTGCAGCTTTCTGTGCATCCCCCCCCCAGCGAAGAACGCTGACCCTTCTGCTCTCTGGGGAATGCAGGCCCAGTCCCAGGTGTACGGAGGGGTCACGTACTACAACACTGTCCAGCAGCAAGTGCAGCCCAAGCCTTCTCCGCCCCGAAGGACGTCCCAGCCGGTGACTATCAAGCCACCACCTCCTGAGGTACCGTCCCCCCGGCGGGCGTCTGCGCGTGTGTGGTGCTGTGCCGCTGGGGTGCACGCGATGCTGCAGCCTCCCTCTCCCACCCAAAAAATACGTTGTTCCAAGGGAATCTTAAACTGTCTGATCTTTGACATGTCCCAAACCTCAGCTTCTCGTTGCAGGTGGTAAGCAGGGCTCCAGTTAATTTGAATTTCTAAATACTTTAAAACTAAACCCACGTAAAAAGTAAGTCCAAAGTTGACTCTTGCTTTTTTTTTTTTCCATTATTTTATATTTTTTAAATTTGCTTAGGGTAGGAAACAGAACACTTTAGAGAGAGGAAAAACCCCACTCATAAGCTAGGAGGCAGTGACTTCCCTGGGAGAATAAATGTGGAGACCTTAGTAGATAATTCAGGCAGCAGACTTCAAGGCTTTCCAGAGATGAGAGCCATTTCCCTGCGCTGGGAACGGTTTCCTCGCTGCAGTGCTGGGAGCTGTGTGTGAGTGCGTGCCAGAGTGCCACGTGTATGTTTGGGTTCCTCTTTAATGTCTTGCTCACCGTACGGGAGCAGGGCGAGCCCGCGGCGCGGCGAGCCCAGGCCTGTGCCGCCGGTTTCCCCGTGGTGGGGGGGGGGGGGGGGGGGGTGGAGGGCTGGGAAAACGCGGAGCGTTTGTAAATCCACTGCGAGATTATCTGATCGAGGTGCCCTGTGAAAAACGTTTAAACCGTGGGGAGAGCTTGGCCAAAGGCAACTGGTTGTGCCCGGAGTGGGCACGGAGGAAGCCGGAGGCGTGGGCGGGCGGCAGTTGCGTTTTGGCAGCCCAGACGTGGGGGGGGTGTTTGCTTGCAGGACCCTGGCGATAGCGCTGCACCCCCCGCAGTGCGGTTTTGGGGGGTGGGGTGGGGTGGGGGGGGTGTTTGTGTGCAGCCTAAGCCTCTACTTTTCTTTCCTCTTCGCCCCCAGGACAACAAAGGTGAAAAATCAAAGGAGAGGAGCAACACGTAGGGATGCGGCCGTGGGAATCCCAACGCCAGACTCGGCACCTCGGCGAGGAGGAAGCTCCGTCTCGGGAAAGGCTCCTTCCCTGCGCGTAGGTGAGGCAGCGGGATGAAATCAGCTGCACCGTCTTGTGCTCGGGGCCGGGCACCTTCCCTCTCTGGTTTTACCGGTGCCCTCCCGAAAACCATCTCGCCGCTGCTGAGCTGCCCTCCTTCCCCCTCCCTCGCTGGGGCACAGAGGTCACCAAAAAACCAATCCCCAGAGTCGGTCCTTGGCCACAAGTTCTCGCAATTTCTCTGTTTTACTAAACGTCTGCCCTTTTCCCTCTCTAGGGTGTTAAACTCGACTGGCTTGATTGTGGTCTCTGTTTTTATTTAAGAAATGAACCAGCTCCTTCAGTAAAGCTGATTTGTTTCTTTTGGGTATTTCGAATTTGTTTGTCTGGCTAACCGGGACGTAACATCCCCTGCCCCCCGTGGAGACAGCTGATAAGTTAATTCTTCATTTTAATTCTCATTTTAAATTAGCAAGTTTATTTCTGCCACTCTTTAAGGGTAGGAAGGGCAGCTGAGCGATAGGAGTCTGTCAGGAACGCGCTGGCTGTGCAGCCACCACTTAATTTAGAAGCTCCTCCCGTTTCTTTTTCCGAACAAACCCTGTTGGTAACTTGTGTCGTTGGCACTTTCTGTCCGTGTGTGTGTCCAAGCTCTCAACTCGCATCAGATGGGAATCCCTGTGCAGGAGCACGGGGTGACCCCCTTCCCCGCTGCCGCAAGCACACCTTGCAGAGCCGGGGGGGGGGGAGTTTTCCACCGCCCCCCCCCTCCCTCCTGCACCTCTGCCAAACTGGCGGCAGAGAAGGGAGGTTTATGGGCGTCCAGGCACCTCGACGCTGCCAGAACAGCCCTGCCAGCAGCCAAACCAGCTAGACGGGGCAAGCAGAGGAGGGATTTGCTCCTAGCGCTTGGGTGTTGGTGCTGGGGAAGTGGAAGGGGTTGTTGTGACCCGCCCCGACGCAGCCAGCCTGCGCTCCCAGCCCCCGCGCCTGCCACCCCCCAAACCAGCCGTCCCCCGGGGACCTCGGCACCCTTGTTTCCCTCCCATTAAGGACTGGGAGACGCATCGGCCGGGACCGCGGCGCCGAGCGTGCCAAACCGGTGCAGCGGCCAGTCCGTCGTGTGTGTGTGTGTGTGTGTCCCCAGCCCCGTGGCGCAGCGCCGCGCCGCCGCTCTGCACCACGCATCCCCCGCCGGTACCGCAGCGGCTCCGGCCTCCCAGGCACGCTGGGGCTTGGCCCGCGTCCTCGCGGCCGTTTGCAAATTGCATTAGGAAACTTGGCAGGGCGAGAGGCTGCCGAGTGCCGCCGCTCGCCCCGAGCACGTGCCGGGGCGGCGTGGGGCAGTGCCAGCTGCTGGCGCTGGCCGGGGACACACACACACACACACACACACACACACACACACACCCCCCTCACTGCTTGGCCTCCCCGTCCCCACCTGCGGCGAGGGAGGGGTGCCCAGCAGCCCACCTGCCCCGCTCTCTGGTCGAGATCTTCTCATGCATGCCCGGCTCTCCAGCAGAAATCCCTTCTTTGGTGTTTGTAACTCGATGACCTTTTGTACCTAATTTCAGATGTCGAAGCGCCGTTTTTAAAAGCAGAAATCCCTCACGTTTTCAATGTAACTGTTTCTCTGCCTTAAGGCTGAAATGTATCGTTAACATATCGGTCGCATGACGGAAATCCTGGACCTTACAACACTGTGATGGGTTTTTGGTTTTGTTTATTTGGATTCCTGTCCCTTAGGAGTGCACATTTGTAACCAGCATTGTATCGGCACGCAGATGAGAGTACGTTTTAGAAAGCAGCCAGCTCTCTGGTCTCTCTTTCCTCGGGCTGAGCCCTGCAGGGACAGCATCCACGGGCGCTTCCTCGCTCCCTTCCACCGCGGAAGCTCGCCCGGGAGCTGCTCTCCCTTTTCCAGGAGCTCCTGGTGGGACTGGGACGGCGGCTCCTCTGCGCCCGAGGGCCCCGGGGAGCAGCTGCAGCCCGGCTCTGCCCCGGCCGCGGGGCTGGGCGCAGACGTGAGCCCCCTCCTCTTCCCCCCCCCCTCGCCGACGGGGAAAGGAACAACTGGTGTGGAGGTGGCGTGGGAGCTGCCGCCCGCGCGCTTCTGTGCTGCTTTGCCTCCCTCCGCCTCGGCACCGCCGCCGCAGCCTCCCCCTGGCCCGCCGGGGGGGGGGGGGGGGGCACAGACCCTGCTCCTGCGCCCTCCCTGATGGCAGCACGGCCGGGGGGGCTGGGGGAAGGATCCAGCCCCTTTCCTCCCTCCCCTGCAGCTCTCCCCGGCTCCTGCCCTCGCTGGCGGGGTCGGGGTCCGGGAGCCCAGGAGGCAGCAGCCGTTGAGCTCCCGCCCCCACTGCCGTGCCGCCCCTTCCCTCGGCAGCACCCCTGCCTCAGTTTCCCTCCCAGACCGAGGGCTCAGGGCTGAGCCTGGGCCGGGGACCAGCTCAAACCCTCTCGGAGCAGCTGCTGGGTGAGCACCCCCTCACCTGGGGGTTCTCCCCTTCCCCGATTGCCGAGATCCCCCGGCCCGGCACCGCAGCCGGGAAGTGGGTTAAGGCGCTGGCTCGGGGAGGGATTTTTCCCTCGGTGTAATTTTTCCCTCCTACACAAGGTCTGTTTTGAGCAGCGCCTGGAGGCTTCGCACCCCCCACCCCCCCACCCCCCCCCCCCCGCTCAGTGCCGGGGCGGGGGAAACGCAGCACGGCTGCAAATGGAGGCGCAGGCTTTGGGAGGGAAGAGCCTGCTCCAGATCCCAGCTCGTTAGGAGAAATAACAGCAAATTAATTAAGCTAATAGCTCGCTCTGCACCAGCAGTGCCCCCGTCCCTGCTGAGCTGGGCCGAGGCGACCGGCCGGGATCTGGGGCGCGTTTCCCCGGGGCGAGCGCGGCCTCGGGCACGGCACGATGCTCCGGGTCCCTCTCGCCAGCGTGGGCCAGGCAGGGGTGAGCGTGGCTGCTACGTGCCTCAGTTTCCCCTTCTGCCTCCTCCAGCCTCTGCTGTCGGGAGAAGCCCCTCTCCATGTGGCCACAGCCCGGCCGACTGGCACCGCTTGCACCCAGGGCCGGGCTCCCTCCTGCAGCCGCCCCGGGCAGAGGGGACGGGAGAGCTCGGCCGGGTGGGAGCGTTTTGGGGTCTTGGGTGGGATGGGGGGGGGGGGGGGAGGGGGCCGGGGCCTGGTGGGGTGGGCAGAGGGGGGTCGCGCCGTGCCGTGCCATCCCACCGGGGCCCGCGCAGCCAGCGATGGGGACGTGGGGACACGTTTTGCCGCTTTCCCGCGGCCGCAGGGATGGAGTTGCCAAGCAACTGCCGGATGGAGGCGAAGCGGGAACAAAGCGGGAGCTGCCAGGACACCCCCCCGCCCCCCCCCCAATCCCTGTGTGTCCCCCCTCCCCAAACCCCCCCAGGGCTTCCCTGTCCGGGCAGCGGGGCGCAGCAGGGGCTACAGGGTCACCCGCCGCATCCCCCCGGCCGTCGCCACCGTCCCACCCCGCAGGGAATGAACCGGGGCAGATGGTGACCAAGGCGGGGGGGGGGGACACGACGACGACACGCAGGGGGTCTGTCCCCTCGCTGCTGTCACCCCCGGCGCAGGGTGCAGAGCGGGGTCCCGGTGCCTCCCCAGACGCTCGCGGCGGGGCCTGGGCAGGATGGGTGCTGGGCACCCAGCGGGCAGGGGGGCACGGCGGCTCTGCCCGGCCCTGCCCCGGTGCCTGCCCCGGCTTGCCGGCCCGGCGGGGCCTGTTCCCGGCCTGGCAGGCACCGCGGCGGGGGGGGGGGGGGGGGGGAGCGGGACGGGACACGACAAACAGTTGCCTCAACTTGCCCGGCCCTGCCCGTGGGGTGCCCCTGGCCCCAGGGGGTACCCGCGCTGGGGTGGGGTGGGGGAGTCCTGCACCCACCCCCTGGCTCTTTCCCACGCTGCCATAGGGTGCTGGGCTGGGGGGAGCCCGAGGTGGGACACCCCCACGCGTGGGGATGTGCCCCCCCTCTATAAAGGGGACACCGGGGAGGGACACCGGGGGGGGGGGCGGTTCTGTTTGCCCCGAGGGCTGAGGGGGTGCTGGGCTGGCGGGAGGGGGGGGCGGGCTGCGTGGGTGTGCTGGGGGCGTGACATGGGTGTGAAGCAGCGCGCGTGGGGTGGGGGTGTGTGTGAGGCTGTGTCCCTCTGCCCGGGTGTGCGCCGGTGCGAGGGCGGGAGGGGGCTGTGGACCGACACACACCCCCCCCCCCCGCCCCCGCCAGGCTGCGGGGGCTCTGCCAGCGCGTCCCACCGGTCGCGTGTCCCCGGTGTCACCGTGCTGCGGGAGGGGGGGGGGGGGGAGGGCGACCGTATCCCGGCGTGTTCCTGTCACCGCTGCGGCTGCACCCCGGTGTCACCGCAGCCCCGGGACGGGGCCGCCCCGCTCCGGAGCCGGTGCCGGTGCCGGTGCGGCGGGGCCGGGGGCGGGCAGGTGCCGGGGGCGGCGGGGCGGGGCGGGGCGCAGCGCACAGCGGGCGGGGAGCGGCGCCGGGGCCCGAGCCCGACCGGAGCCGCCGCCGCCGCCGCCGCCGCCGCCGCCCATGGCCCCCTGAGCCGCCGCCGCCGCCGCGCCCGGGCGGCCATGAAGCCGCTGGAGAAGTTGCTGAAGAAGCCGGGCTCGCACCTGCCCGCCCGCCCCGCCGCAGCCCCCCCGGCCCCGGGGCCGGGATCGGGACCGGGAACGCGGCGGCAGAGCCTGTCGCGCCCACCCGCCTCCCCCGAGGAGCCGGCGGGGCCGGCGGGGCCTCACCCGGGGGGCGAGGGCCGTTGGTTGGAGCTACGGCCGCCCGAGGTTTCTCTCCGCTCCCCCGAGGAACCGTCGCCGGGAGGCGACCGGGACCGGGAGCCACCGAGCCCGGAGCCGCCGCCCGCCGCCCGTTGCTGCTGCGGCTGCGGCTGCGCCCCCGCCGCTCCCGCGCCCCCCGAGCGGCTCCTGGCCGCGCTGCTGGAGCGGCTGCCGGCGCGGGGCGGGCACGGCCGCGGCTGCGGAGCAGGTACCGGGGCTGCGGGGCGGGGGGGGGACGGGGGAGGGCCGGCCGCGGCGGGACCCCCGGGAGCGCGGCCCGGGGGCGGGGGGGTGCGGGGAGAGCGGGCGCTGTGTGTGTTGGGGGGGGGGGGGTGATGGGCGCTGAGGTGGGTGCTGCCCCGAGGGATGCGCTGGTGGGTGTCGGGGTGGGGGGGACGACGCCGGGGTGGGGGAGCGGCGAGGTGGGTGACACCGCGGGCGCCCGGTTGGGGTGGCAAGGTCAGGCTGGGGCCCCGCCGGGCCGAGGGCACGCGTGGCGGTGGGGTGGGCGGGGGAGTGGAGGGTGAGCAGGGGTCCCACCGGGCATCGCTGCGGCGGGGGGGCACGGCGGGGGCTCAGCGGGGGCAGTGGGGGCCGAGGTTGGCCGGGCACCGAGCGCTGCCGCACCGCGCAGGGCCGCCAGCCTCCCGCTTCGTTAATCTTTAACATTTTCCTGGTGCTAAAATTAGCCCCGACGGGAGCTGCAGCTGGGGGGGGGGGCGCGGGGGGGGGGGGGGGGCGAGCGGACACCCCTTCCCTCCGGCACAGCCTTCCCCGGGCCCGGTGCCGTCCCCCCCACGGCTCCCCATGCCGAGGTGCCGGGGTGGGTTTGGGTGCGTGGGGCTGGGTGGGAGCCAGGCTGGGTGCAGGCGGGCTGGGAGCGCTCCCACGCTGCGGGGATCCCTGCTCCAGCCAACCCCCCCCCCCCCCCCCCGCGGCTGCGAGACTGGGGGACCCCCGGGGTGGGGGGGTGTGTGGCAGCGGGGACCCCCAGGCTGCCACTAACCCCCAGCTCCGGGGCTGCGCAGGGCTGGGGTGGGGCTCAGCCACCGACACGAGGGAGCCCTTTGGGTAGGAGCGAGATGGGACTGGCAGCGCCAGGCCCTGCCTGCACCAACACGCTGCCAGGCCCGGCCCTGTGGCGCCCGGGCAGGCAGGGAGCGAGGGAGGGGGGGGGCAGGAGCCAGCATGGGGGTCCGGAGGCTCCCGCCAGCCCCGCTCTCCCGGCGTGGGAAAACCATCCCTGCAGCTCCCGGGGACGGTGTGGGTGCTGCAGAGGGATGGGGAAACTGAGGCAGGTCTGGAGGGGACAGCAGCCCGCAGGGATGGGGGAGTGGTGTTTGATTCCTTCTGCCCCCCCGGGCAGAGTTTGGGAGGGGGGGCTGCACCCAGGGCAGGGGGTGCTGGGGTGAGCTGGGGGCTGTGTACCCGTGCCCTCCCCCCCCCCGTGCTGCTGGTGCCCACGTAGGTGCTGGATGCTGGATGTGGGGCACCGGCCCAGCAGTGCTGGGGGCTGGACTTGGTGGGGGGGGCAGGTGGGTCCAGCCTGTGCCCCAGACCGCTGTGTCCCGCTTCCAGCATCAGCTCGTCCCCCGCGGGCGCTGTGCCCCGGCGCAGTGGTGCCAGGGGAGCCTCAGCCCCGGCTCGGCACAGATCCATGGCCGGGTTAACGGGGCAGGGCCCCGGGGGGCGGCCAGGGGGGATGCTCCGCATGGCCCTTCCCGTGGGGACAGGTCGTGGGACCCCGGAAGGGCCCTGTGAGGACATTGGGGTCCTGCCACGGCGCCCCTGGGACACACGGACACAGCCCCCTGGGCACCCATCCAGCTGGGGACCCGCTCGGGGCGCAGGGTCGAGGGTTGCTCCGAGGGAGCGGTGCCTCGTCCAAAGG